TAGGTCTGCAGTTCTAATGTGACTGTTTCTGAATATTACTTTAGGGTTATGAACATATTTTTGGTTTTATTCAAAGTGCTTACATACTGATATTCAAAGTTACAAAATTACTTGGCTAATACCCTGTGAAAATGTTGTTTCTTTTAAAAGGGTGAAGTATTTGCTGTATCATTTATTTATTTTTAGTCTTGTACGGTAATGACACTACATTTGGCTTAAAGTTTAATCCACTGCTCCCACACATGAGACACGCACCAGGTGGGAGCTCTTAAAAAAAGAAAAAAAGCCGCAGTGTGAAGTAAACTCACTTACACATGCAAACAAAGACGTGACCTTCGAACTCTTCCCTTAGAGACCTTTGAACCTGAGCTGTTAGTCAGTTGGATTTGAAAATCCAGGTTATCTCTCACGCAGTATGGTTTCCCTCCACTGTCACTGTTAGTTGCACGCTCTCACACAGTTGAGCATGTGAGAGATTGTTTAGTAGAGAAATACTACAGCTTGCTGTGACTAAATTACTTTCAGTTTTCACTTCTAATAACGACATTGTGATTTTATCCAATACTAACACAAGGGGAGGAGGATTTACTGCCACAGATACTTAAATAACAAAGTGATGACAAAAACATTTTTAGAGATTTTATAGAGATGAGCCTCCTTACATATTCTAAATATGTGTCAGTGTTTTTCACAACATATTAGGAATATTGCACATATGCAAACAAAGGGTTTGTTTGGGTTTTGTAGCAAGATGGTAATAAAGGAGGGAAAAAGTAGATATAGTCCAGGTGAGGTGTTGATGCCTATCAATGACCCTGTCCAGCTCTCATATAACGACAGTTATTCTTGAGTCTTTGTTGGACACAAACTTTCTCATGCCACCCTGGAGGAGCCAGACTACCCGTGCAACCTGAATGCTATCAGTAATGACAAGGACACTACCAAAAATCAAAACTAGAAACAACTAAAGTCTGACATAGCTCATCTGCTATTTGTGTGAGAATTGAAGGGGCTTAATGAATTGAAAATGTAACGGCTATCTATGGTATTGGCCTGCATTACACTCACTCTGTGTACGCGAGCATTCCCTGATGCTTGACACAGTGAAGAAAGGGAACTACACAGATGCACAAACTTCTGTAGTGCCACATATGGTCTAACATGCAGTAATTACATGGCATTAGTTAATTTGTGTACATAGAGCATATGTCGACCCAGCATATATAAACACGCTGACAGAACTAGTGGAACATCAAAGACTCCCCTAAACCTCAGCCGATTCCTCTCTGCCATCACTCGACTGGAAATGTGGGACTGCGTGCGTTTGACAGGCGGAGCGCAGCAGCTCTTATCCGGGCTGTTGTTTGTTGGTATACTGCTGCATTAGCATTTCTACTCAAACCATGTGCTGTCTGTGAAACATGGAAGAAAACAGAAAAAGCTGTTGGGGATTATTGGAGTGAAAGCTGCAGAAGCATAAACGGAGCCATTTGTTCCTGTTCTGCTCTTTTATTTGATATGTTTGAATTTTTTTTGCCTAAATTTTATTTGTTTATTCTAATATTTCCTGTAATCTGGTTTGATCCAAGACAATTGTCAACTGTGGAGGACAATAAAGTAACAGTAGTCCTGTGTCTAGGTATTGTCTCCTTTGCCTGCCCTTCTTTCCTTTTCTGTCCAAAAATAATATCAAAGATAATTTTTCCTCCATAAAATCACTAGATCATTATTTGAAACATTCCTCAGCCTCAAAGTCAGGGTCGCCAGGTTGTAGTAGCTGAAAAGATAAAAATAATTGCACATTTTATTATTTTAGCAAAGTAAGTGCTTGAAATGGGTCACAAAATTAAGTTTAGAGTTGATCTTAAAGAAGACTTGCCTACACACCGGATTAACGCTGCACTCATGTCAGGTCTATGAAGCTGGGAACTGATATTCACACAGCCACTGCGTGCCTTTTTGTTGCACGAGACAGGATGGCATTGAAAAAAAATATGGAAGAACATGCTGAACTGTTTTCACTTTAGTCCAGTTTTAGCTTTCCTGCAGAACAAGTGTGTTGGCATGGAGGTATATGAGTATTGACTATATACAGATTATCACCCAGCACTCAAACTGGAGACGGAGCTTTTAGCCTTACTAGTTGTTTTACTGTGTACACTGTTGGTTTTTAAACTATTAAAGTAAAGGGATTGTGAAAGCTGAGTGTGATTTACAAATTATTTAAATGTGTAGTTGTGTGCAGTTTGTAGATCAAAGCATTGATGGTTGGGGGGAGTAAGGTGCATAAACTTAATTGTAAACTGTTTGCAGCTGTGCCATTGTGCGAGTGCTGCTAGCCCAAATTCGCAGCCATGGCGCTACTGGATCGGGCTTGCGAGCAGTCCTTATTGCAAGTATTCAGGATGTTGGAGCGAAGGACAACATGAGGGCGCCTGCTCACTTGTTGCCCTGTATTTAAAATGTTCGACAGCTTGATTTCAAGAGTTTAATCAATGACTTTTTAATCAATTGACATAAAGAAATGCTTCTGACTTAGTAAGATGTTTTTTGTGTTATACACTGCAGGTATATAAACAAACAAAAAAAATTATAACTATAAGACTAAATATGAATTTATTGTAATTCATGGTTTAGTTATTATGCGACCAAACATTGTATTTTGGAGGGACACGTGAATTGTGTGCTCTATGTGCAGTAATATGTCCATGGTGCAAATTGAGCTGATGTTAGATGCTGCTGCTTTAGTCTCTTATGATTGGTTAGTTAATTAAATCCCCTCCCCCTTGGAAACTTGTGGAAATGAGTGGACGCAATGTCAGTACTGGTCCACAACTTTAAGATTATGACTTTCAGGAGTTTAGGGCTGGATTATTTAGGGGTGTAGATGGCTGAGATGAGACTTTGCAGGAATGCACCATCATCTGGAGGTGCACTGAACTTGAACTACACGTGGCTGCCCTTAACAGTTCCCAGTGGCCCCAGAAGGTGTCTGCCGTTGTACTGACCAGTGTGTTAATTATCCACCGCTCGCTCTAAGCTGGGCCATGTTTGAACCTCTGTGTCTCCACGGTAACTGTAACCAACAGTTACGCAAGCTTGACAACGGCAGCCCTCGATGACCCACATTCCAGCAGTAAATCACAACGCGTGCACATTCCCGACTCCACCCTTGCCTATCGAAACTGTTCTCAGTGTTTCCACTCGACGGGGAAGGGGAGGCGGCGAGTTAGAACGAGGCGGGGAACGCTTTCACTTCTGTCGGCCTCTTTTTTTTTTTTTTTTTTTTTTTTTTTTTTTTTTTTTCTTTCTATTTTCCTGTTTTTTCTATATGGAACAAAGTCCACAAACTGTGCAGAATTAGTGTAGTTGAATCTTTTGTTGGAAGTCTTTCTGCACACACTCCTCAGCCTCAGATTAAATGGTTGAATTTGTTTGTTTGCATCCCCTATTAGAAGCTGGCATGCGAGTTGTTTTGTTGGCATGCTGACAGAAAAGATATCTGCGGTCTAGGAGATCCACAGTGAAGACACAACATCTTTCCTGCCATAATAAAATGTAACAATTTCTTATGAAGTAAACCTTAAAGACACTCTCTCAGTGCTTACTCTGTACACTGAGAATATATATAACTGTCACTTCCTGACCAATGGGTTCTCTGAAAATGACATCACTATTCATGAAACGTTACTTGGACCATGGTGCTCGAGTAGTATCTGCATTTTGTTCCACAGGTTCATCCACTTGTCCTGGCATTCACCTTAAAGTGGCAACATTTAATGCTGCACTTAAGAAGGCGTGCATCCCCCCCCCATGATGCCAGAAACCAATCAGCGTCTGTGAGAAACTATATATGGCTTTATGTGTTCATGGCTGCCTTCATCTTACTTGAATATCTTTCCACAAGTTTGTCTCTCGCTTTCAATTTGTTTTTGTCCCCTAGAGTGAGATACAATCACCTACTTTTTCAGAGTAATAGCAGCTACTAGCTATGCAATGTTGGCAAGCTCCTGAATACCTTAGATCTTTCTCTGGTGGCGGTTATGATGAAATATGAGGCAGATTTACTGCTGAGCCATAACATATGCATGTGTGTGCACAGGCTGCGAGCTACAGTTGCTGCGTCAGCACAGCGTTGCGTACATACATCAGGTTTTACACATTCTTGTTCTGTAGTACACTCTGTAGCAGATGAAGGAAATGTCTAAATGTAGGCAGTGGATTTGTACACATGTAGAGAAAATAGCCCTGGGTAGCTGTGTAACACAGGCTGTGTGTGTTCTGCAGAGGTTTCCTTAGACCTGCACAGTGTGCTGAGATAAAGTAGATAAGTAAGTTGGAACACATTAAATCAGTGTGCAGATCAGGGAGGCTCTTGGAAATAACATTTGATACCAATTATATACAAATGACTTTAAGTACATATTTAAGATTTAATCGGTGTTGAACTGCTTGAAAGGGACCTATTACGCTCACTTATGACCTCAAATATACTTCACACGTATACGTAAAGTTTATCCGAAATGACACGCCTCATGGTTGTGATGTCTTCAGTATTTAATGTGATATTTGGACGGCAAACATTCATCTTGTCTATTTAATAACCGATGTCACTGAAGTAAGTTGTTGTGCTCAAAACTTGATGCATGTGGGCTGACAGTCCATATCGGTGAATAACTGATCAGCCTTCTTTTCCTGTCGTCGCACAACCTGCTGACACACTCGGCTCTCTGGATCTCAGCCAGCCTTGCATTTTTGCTCTCCCGCCACAGTCGAGGCTGCTGAACAGCCACCTTAAGAGCGCCATCTTGCATTAATAATACGTCTGAGCTACTGTTTATGCCCTATTTTCTTTCAGTCTTCAATGTTAATATCCAAGCATTTGTTTATGCTCTGCTTGTAAACGCAATTGTGTTGAATGTAAATGTTTGGTGTATTTTTGTAATTTGCGGCTTGTATAAACAGAATTAGTGACTCTCTTCCTGTGTTTTTTCTAAAAGGACCTGGAGTTCCATGGCGTGATGAGGTTCTACTTCCAGGACCGGGTCGCCGGTAACTTTGCTACCAAGTGCATCAGAGTCTCCAGCACAGCGACAACGCAGGATGTCATTGAAACGTTAGCAGAGAAGTTCAGACCAGACATGAGGATGCTGTCCTCACCAAAATACTCCTTGTACGAGGTCCATGTCAGTGGCGGTGAGTCCCACAGATTTCTGATGCAAGGAAAAGCGCGACAGACTTTACAGAATCCAATTAATTGTAAAAATGGAGAGTAGGAAATGGATGGCTCTCAGGTAAACTGGTCTTTCTGTGTCTGTGTTAGAAGAGCGTCAGCTGGACCTGGACGAGAAGCCTCTTGTTGTGCAGCTGAACTGGAACAAAGACGACAGAGAAGGACGCTTTGTCCTGAAGAATGAGAACGACATCCTGCCCAAGGTCAGCTGCTCTGACTGTTCGGTCCAAGTGTTCACTGTTAATCATTAGGCTTACTAGCGAGATGAATTATTCTTCCATTCATCCGTAGCCTGTCAAGGAAAAACGAATCATTTTAAATCACTTTGTTCAGCTCTTCAAGATCACAAAGATACAAATGCGCATTGGAAAGGCACCAGCTGCCACTAGAATATAATCAGACTGTATATAAAAGATGGATGCTGCTTGGTTAATGAAGGGCTTTCAAGGAAGCCATCCAGGTATTTTGAGACCAGATGTGACGAGTGAGTGTCTGATTTGGCTTTAAAAACTGAAACGTGTGCTCACTGGCTAAGGACTTGTACTCAGCTTCATTTTCCAATAGGGAAGCTACTTCTATATGTGATACTGCCTTTAAATGGAACATAGTGTTTCCTACACATAGACTTTACTTCATTGAGCTGCTCTGGTATATTTAGCAACCCTCCTTAATCTTTTTCAAGTTTTAAATTTTTTGAATTTTCTTGGTATTTTTCATTTGCTCTCATGTTTTGTACCAGCTGGCTTCCTGCCAGGTTCCACTTATGGTCCTTAATATCTTTCAGCTGTTCCTTCAGGTTGTCTCTTCAAACTGTGATCTTTTCTATAGTTTTTATATCTTTATCCCACTAACCCTAACCAATTTTAATGATAATAAATGATGTATTTTTAATTTGTAATGTAATAAAAAATTAGAAAACGATGAAGCGTAAAAATCTGTGAAGTGTACAACTCAATTTTCGGCGACTCAATGTGCATAAAATTTCGCTCTACCAGCAACCTCAACCAGCCTCCCAAACGTTTTTGTGATTTAAAAGTGGAATGTATTATTGTTTACACGTACACTAATCAGTACTATTTGTGATAAGAGGTGGTGAGTATTTCACTGTAGGGAGTTACAGGACCACTCTGATCAGAACCTGGAGCAGGTGGAGGTGTAGTTTATGTCTTCCTGCTCACTGACGATGCAGAGCAAGACAGCAACTACCTGTCTTAATTTAACAGCCTGTGGGGAGCACTGCAGCGTGCCTATTTGACCTTGTAAGAGGTGCTCAGGTTTTAGTGGGTTTTAAAAGTTCCTTTGGGCCCTGAGTCAAATTTGGACATTTTGGCGTACTCGAATGTCACAAAGATGCCGAAGATTTTCTTCTTTTCCTTGCTCACTTTGCTCATGTGCCACTTATTCACCCACAAAAGAGCGCATCTATAGCAGTTTTATCACTCAGCCTCACTCTCTTGTTTTTCTAGAAGAGTCAGAGTAACGGGCCTGAGAAGGAGAAGGACGGCGTGATACAGAACTTCAAGAGGACTCTGTCCAAGAAGGAGAAGAAAAAGGAAAAGAAGAGGGAGAAGGAATTTGCCCGAATCCCTGATGGAGACGATCAGACACTGAGTCGCGAGGACGGGTAACGCACTCATTCATCTTACATCCTGACAGTCCTCAGAGATTCTTTTTCTTAATGCAAGGAAAAGCCCAGAAAATGACAGAATAGTGATTTAAACTTTTGACCTTTCAGTTCCTTCATCTGACTCCTTTTTTTTTTCTTCCCTGCGTTTCTTTTTCTGTCCCATTTATTCTTTGGTTTAGAGAAAATCTGGCAGCAGAGGTTTATAAAGACATGCCGGAGACCAGCTTTACCAGGACGATCTCCAACCCAGAGGTGGTGATGAAGAGAAGACGCCAGCAGAAACTGGAGAAACGCATGCAGGAGTTCATGAGCAGCGATGGGAGGCCAGACTCAGGTACTTCTTAGAATTTGCAAATATCTTGTTTATGAGTTTATTCAGACCCTTTTCTCCTAATCCCAACATGAGCTCGGATTACCAACTGTGCCTAGTCTCCTAGGTGTATTAGTTCAGGGGTGGGTAGAGGAAAAAAACAATAGGTATATAACAAACACATTCCTTCCCAATTAGATAGCCTGCACCTCATTTATGTTAAAATTAAAAAGCATATAGTGCCATTAGATCCAAAATGTAGACTAATTGAACACTGCTAAAGTGTTTTGTTTCACTTTTTTAATGATGAGACAAGAGACGGAGCTCAGAGGGCAGTACGGTATGTTTAATGATCCCATGTGTATTTAAGTTTTTGCTCACTGGAAATAAACTGAAGTCAGAACACATTGGCTCACGTGGGCAGTTTGCAGGTGGTATTACTTTAAAATAATGAGACCGTCAACATCAAAGGCTAATCTGATATATTGTTACAGTCATGTGGAAAAGAGAGCACAGGACTCTAGAGTCCACAGTCACAGCTTCCATAGGACTTAAGAGGGCAAGTAGCAGCCAAGTGCTGCTAATCAAATCGACAAATTCACTGATGATCAACAAGTATGAGCACCTCTGGTTTGGACTGTTCAGGTGTGTATTGCCACCAAATTCAATCCAGTGTCAGAGTAACTGCAAAAACCCCAGAATCTTAAATGTTAAAATTCATGATGGTATTTGTTGGAGTAAACAGTAAATTGACCTAAATATGAAAATCAGCTGTGAATACTGACTTTTTATGTCACAAACCGAAATGGCACAGCCAGAGAGGGACCCGGATTGGCTCTAAAACAAGTCTGAATGTCCTTGTATGGCTTAAAGGAAACCTGACGTGAACTCTGGAGATAATCTGCAGCGTGACCTGAACGTCGCAGTTCACTGTCGCTCCTTATCTGGTGTGGAAGGGCATGAGAAAGCAAGTTAAATTCTGTGAAAGCAGGTGTGCACATCTATTGGAGTGGTGTTTATATAACATGCGGATTAGCGGCCCACTTTTTGTTGTTAGTAAATTGTTTTCACTGCTCATCGCTAATTACTCACGCCCACATCAGCTGCTTCCCAGAAGTGCCATATGCCGTTGGAGCGTCTCACGCTGACATGTTTACGCACACAGACATACGTCGCGGACGTGCCGAATGAATGAAACAAACATGCTGACTGGTTCAGCGTGTGACTCAGGCATTACCTAATCACTCTGCCAGACAGACAGATGGACGAGTGAACCGGCTTTAAAAACGGCTCAAACCACCGTCCGCATGCACATGCAGCCGGTGAGGCAGGACGGCCGGTGGTTAGACGGTGACGTTCTCCCGGCAGAAAGCACTATTTAAAAAAACAAACAAAACACCCTTATTTTATGTAATGAAAATCCTGTTTGCTCTGCTGAAGCCTTCTTTTGTGGCATTTACAAAGGTGATCATTTTCAGTTGACACGTCCCCGTTACATGGCTACATGTTCCACCAGATGAAAGTTGTTATAAGCATTACGTTATTGCTTTTCCCCAAACTCATCTAAAAGTGTACGCGAGAAAGTTTAACGTCCAGGTCAAGCAAGAAATGATAGACCGAGAACCGATGGTGACAGAAGTTTGTAAAGTGGGAGTCTGCTAGCACCATTACATTGGCTATATTAAATGCAGTCAAAAATGAAACTAAAGGTGAAAAACACCCAAGTTCACTGAAGTAAAACTAGAACTAGGTGTGAAACAGTATTTAGTGAAACAGAACTAACACACTCCGTCTCTGCAGGAGGCACTTTGAGGATATACGCTGACAGTCTGAAGCCCAATATCCCGTATAAAACCATCCTCCTCTCCACGAGAGACACAGCTGACTTTGCTGTGGTGGAGGCTCTGGAGAAGTATGGACTAGAGAAGGAGAACCCCAAAGAGTACTGCATTGCTCGGGTAAGTTTTCTTAAAAATCTGTAAACCCATCTTGTCACCTTCTCACGCTCCCAGTAAACACATTCATCAACACCATAAAATCTGCTTTGTTCTCGCTAAAATTAAAATCGAGTTAAATTAGGTTTAGTTCCTCCAGCTGCAGCAAATTCCATCAAACCCACGTTAACAGTAACAGAGTTTGAGCTTTTGTCACAGTTTAATATGTGATTTTATTTTTGAGGACACTGCGTGATGTTCACAGCTCATATTTGATCTTCATGGTTAGAGGTGTAATGTTTCCAAAATCATGTTTCCGTTTTGCCAGACTAGCATACTTTAACAACTCCACATGGGACTCATCGTGAGATGGGACATTTGTATCGCCATTTCTGTTGTCGTCTGAGAATTGTTACACCGTTAATCCTGCTTCTCTGCACTATACAACCTTGACGCTCCGAGTTCAGTAATAAACACCTTTATCATCCTCCTGAGAGGCTGTGGAAAGTTAAGTTCACTGTCATTGCCACAAGGGTCACCACTGCTGTCAGTAAACATTGTAACAGCTTCCAATACGAGGAGCATGCTATATATCCCACCTTTAAGGCACATTTTAAACACATTTTCTCTTTTTTTGGTTCCTGTTTAAATGAAGATGACTAAAAGTTGGAAAAGAAAAATCCATGCCCACTTCACAGGAATGGCAGATTGAAAAGGAAAGCTTAAGGAATGCAGCTCAGTTACTTTCAGACTGAGTGCCACAGTAGCAGCAGATGCTCTATAATATCAGCGTGTGTGTGTGTGTGTGTGTGTGTGTGTTAGACTGTGACGGTGAACTTGGCTCACAGCCTGTCTCCTATCTGTCCTCTCAGCTTTTGCCAGTCGTATAAAACAACTGCCAATACACTGGAAGATCCTCCAGACACACACACACACACACACACACACACACACACACACACACACACACACACACACACACACACACACACACGGTTACTTTTAAAGGTACCTTTTCACTTTACAGTGTTGTTACTATCATGAAGTGATCTGTTACATTACAGGGCTATCTACTTAGAAAAGTAACTCATCAGCGTGCTTTGCTTTACCAAAACTGCACAGCCCTCATATGGTTACATTGTACAGAGGCTGTGTGATCTCATACAGAGTTGACATTGATAGCACATCGTAACCAGTAACAAGCTCACTAGTTTCCCTTTTCAGCTGAGCTAACTTGTTAGCTGTTGTGTGTTTGGAGCTTTTCCTTTGACTAGTGTTACTGCTGCGAGGTCTGGCCTGTTGAAAAGGTGTGTCCAGCACAGTTCAGCTAAACTCCCTGCACAGATCTCCAGTACTTCCTCAGTGACAGCTTGTTGTGTAAAAATTGCCTTAAGTAATTAACACATTTTTGACAGGACAGTGTGCAAAATGGAGTGATGTGTTTAGAGGCTGAGGCAGACTGACTCATCCTTGGGTCTGCATCGTTAAGTGTTGTTCGAGCACAGGCCAGTGTGGGAGTTTGGGACAGTCACTGACTGTGCCTAGTGCGAGTTCACCCTAAAGTGCAGGGTTCAGGAGGTCAGCAACAATGAGAAATGCCAGAAACTGGTAAACACTATCCACCCACTCGTCCTTTTTTTTTTTCCTTATCTGCATCATGGGAGCATTAATCTAAACACAGCTATCAAAAACTAACAACCACCACTGCCTCCAGCTCTTCTGGAGAGTTGAAAACTAGCTGTTGCGTCGTGTCTGTGTAGGTTCTCAGTCGTACAGGTCATGATAGTCTAAGGCGCTGAAAAAGAAGGCGACTGGATTCAGTTTTTTTTGTTTTGTTTTTAATCTTTCATCCTGTGAAACAATCAAGAAACCTCTTGGATTAGAGGTGAAACATCTTCAAAAAACTTGAAGTCCAGTCACCTTCTTTTCAAGCTGTTTTGCATCCTGTGACTTCTCTGGAGACGTTGTCTTGTCAGATGTAGTTAAATGACCTCATCTTTGAGGCTTAAAGGAGCCTGAACCACATTACATCAGTCATTCTGTGTGTAAGGCGGGACTGAGATTACACAATATTGTTGTTTGTTGTAATGGTTAATGTGTCAGGTTAGAAGATTATAGAGTTGGAGACATGATGAGCTCCTCATTGCTCCCCTATTGGCTTTTTAAATTTAAGTGATATCATCAGGATGGAAATGCTGGCTAGGGATTTCCAGTAAAAAAAAACACAGTGGTGACGTTTATGATCCTGGTGATCTTCTTATTCATTGATTTTCACATTTCCTCCATCAGCTCATATTAGTCAAGGTCACTGAAGTTGAGGAAAACTCTTTTTTCCCCCTTTAACCTTTGTGCAATTATCAACCTACAAGGCTTTTGTAGGTTTAAATTGGACTTTTTGGAGGCGAGGACATGTGTAACCTGTAACCACCACCACAGTTAGTCTGTCTTTTCTGTCTTTTTCACAAAGTTATTTAGTAAATTCATTTGGGTTTTGTTGGTCTGGAATTTTATGCTCGACGAGTAGAAGGATGAACTGTTGGAACACATTTGTTCCATGTTGCAATCAGCTGATATTGTGTAGTCTGAATCCAGACAGCATTCGGTGGAAACAAAGTTTTACAGCCTGTATTTATGATCTTTTTCTTCTGGTACAACCCATAGCCACAGGTTATGGTAAGAGCATAGCCCTGCCAGTTAATTAAACCCTATGCCCCTTAGCTCACCAGAACTTAGCAGTACTGCAGATGCTGTAGAAGCCCACTTGTCGCTCTCCCACTTTCCATTGTTCCCCCACTTGTGAACATCATCCTAAGGTACTTGAGATGCTCCACTTGAGACAGTAGCGCTTCCTCAAAACAACCCATCTCTTACTGAATACCAGGGCCTCAGACTTGAGGGTCTAATTCATCCGCTAATGCATCTGCTCTCCACTGAGCTGCAAACTGAACCAGTACAAGCTGCAGGTCAGCACGCATTTTTAGACGGTGTGATGTGGAAAAACAGGATTAGTGGCTGACGTCTTTTCTTTATATTGTGTCTTGGAAAACTAGTTAATGGGGATTATGGACCATGTGGACATGGGAAAACAACCAATTTCTAAACTGCAACATCTGGAGATGTTATAACATGTTGTTTAATAAGTCCAATAATAAGCACAGCTGCATGAAATGTGAATAAACTTTGAATTGATTTGGTGTTTGTCTCCTTTTATTTGCAGCAAGATGATAAGTCGGGCAAGGAGGTGATTCTGGACGATAATGAGTGTCCACTGCAGATCTTCAGGGACTGGCCTGCTGATAGAGGTAAAAGACACACTCAGGCACTTGTCCCCTCGCTTCTTGGTCACTATTGCCCCCTGCTGCTGGTTTACTGAAATTACAGATTTTTTTTTTTTAAATGTTTATTTTAAATGTAATTTTTCTTTGACCATTGATCTTCTTACTGTATATTAACCTGTGGAATCTCTACTGAGTACAGGTAGTAAAATTTAGTCTTCCTCATTTTCAGGGGCATTAGTGTTCCAGTTGAAGAAGAGACCTCCGGACTACCAGGGGAGGAAGGGAAGGAAAGTGGATGACAAGGGCCTCAGAGGGAAGGACAGCTCGCTGCCTCCTGAGAAACTGCCTTATCTAGTGGAGTTGAGCCCAGGTAGGACCACAACACTATCATATGCGACCCTTCATCTTTGCTGTCAGTGTCGGTAGGCATTACAAGTGACAGCACCAGCGGAAGCAGCTTTTTTTTTTTATTTTTATTTATTTTTATTTGTTGTTGTAATGGCAAACAGTGACCAACAGGTTGCAGTGTAGCTGCATTAAAAAACACTCAGGTTTGGTCAAAGGTGAGTCTGTCTTCGTGTTCCCTGCCGAGGTGAATGAAGCACATTATAATGCGGCTACATTATTGCTCCCACATCTTCTCACCACTTTCAGCTGTGTTGTGGTTTCTGTTCCTGCCACTGCAGCATTTTGTCAGTGTGTAAAAACCACTGCGGGCGGTTAACGATCACTGAAAGCTGCAGAGAGCTCTTAAAAATAGCTGGAGATGTTGGCGCGTGCTACAGCTGCTTGACTTTCTTTTATCCCCCCATCAGAAAGAGCTGTAGCTTTTAATATGAATTAAAGTTTCCAAAACACACGAGTGCACTGTGAGAAGTCACAGAATAAAAAAGACTTGGACTTTAGATCTTCTCCTTTATGCTTGTTGCACTGAGGTTATACCTGCCTGAAGGGTTTCTAACATAAGATAATTCTTTATTGGGGAAACATCTGGCAGTTCTTGAGGTTAAAGTGTAAAGTTATCAGACAGAGATAGGTAAGAGTTATATGTAGGTGTTGTTAGAACAAAAATGTGTCTGTCCTCAGTCACAGCAGCTGAGATCACTCTTTTAGACCACTCATGTATAATGAATCTCTTCATCATCATCATTATTATTATTATTATTATTATTATTATTATTATTATTATTATTATTATTCTTCAAAGGGGGAAAACCTGTCCTAATCTTAACAGCCACATCAAAGTCTTTATCATATTTATTTATGATGAAGATGATTTAAAGAGCAAAAAGGTTAAACTTACTATGAAAAAGCTTCATTTGGTGAATTACAGGAAGTTTCTTACTGATGTAAGAGTATACAGGACAGAGACCACTCGTACTGTAAGAGGTAAGTTACAGTGGTGTAATAACAGCTGGAATGCAGTACATAAAACCCCAGATTATTTGTTTTGAGAGCCTTTCGAAGGGCATTTTGGAGAAACATACCCATGTCCTGTTAAATATGACACAACCCTAACAGCTTGTTTCCTGCTACTGATCCCTCTCTTTCTTTATTGGCCTTTTTGTCATTCTTCCTATCATGCCATTAACCTATCAGACCCGTTGGTGAACCCAATTCTTATTGGCACTTGAACTGGTTTGAACTGTGGTGCTGGAATGATATTGGCTCACCAGTGGGCCCTATCCAGGAATGTACTAACACGTCTACTTCATCTACTGTAAGGTTGACGGGTCACTGACTGTGGAAGATTGCCAGGATGGGAAATTGATTTGGTGGCTTGTCTAAATAACAGCTGCTTGGCAAAGTGTGTGTGTCTGTGTGAGGAGAGAGAGAGAGTGTGTGTGTTAATTAACTGGACTTTAATCCACTTCTATTAAAGAAAACACTGAGGTTACCCTGTAGAAGGCTTAAGATAAAAAGAAATTTGTTGTAATTTTTTACTTTTAAATGACTTTCCAGTATTTAAGTGATGTCCGGGCTACTGAGGGAAGTCCTATAACCACAAGCATACCTCTCAGTGCGTTTTCTTCATAGATTGTATTTAAAATATGGACATAAGGGATGTCTCAGCCTCAAGCTGACAATTGTGTTACCATCTAAGCTTTATGAAGCCAGATATGACGAGCAGAGGGCAAAGCTGACTGTGGGGCGTAGGCGAGCCCCTATAAAGCATCACAATAGACGACTATTTGGGTGCTCTCCCCATTTTACAGCCTTTACGGCACCACCTGATTGAATGAACACCACTCTGTCTGCTCTTGGATTTTAAACTAAAACCAAAATTTGACACTTTAAAAAAGCAGACCATTAAGCTCAAGTTTGATCCTAAAAACACGTGAGGTGAGAAATAAACCACAAAGTCACCAAAAATAACACGTTTAAACAGATAAAGATGCTTTCACCTCAAAGTCAGGGCAGGCAACATAATGTCACCAAAATGCATACTTGTTTGGATCAGTGGTTAAACTGTTGGGAAGATCTTTTTTGTTATGACCTGTTTTAAGATACATACTCTGTAAACTAGAATTTACAATTTACTTGCAGTGTGCGTTGTCATCTACACACTGCTTTGTTTAATTCATTTAAAATTTGGACACTAAGACAAATGTAGACAGTGAGAGCCCTTTTAAAATATCGTGTGTGTGTGTGTGTTTGCCTGCTTTCCATGCAATTAACGGGTTAACAAGGTATTTTTTTCCCTTCCTTGCTGCATTTTCACCCTCTGCTATTTGTCTGTTTTCTTTCCCACCTTCTTTATGGCATGGTGCGTATGCGTGTGTGTGTGTGCGTGTGTGGGGCCTGTGCATGTCTCCTCCTACCTCGGTGCCTGCCTGCCTGCCTAGGGCGAGGGAATCACTATGCCTACTACGCCTATCGGCACCACGAAGGTAAAACTCTGCCGCACCTGTGTGTCTGTTGGTGGGGTCAACTCATTTGGCCAATAGTGGTCAAACAGCCCTGATACATGTTTTAGATGTGATTTAGGCACTAGTACTGAACAGAGAGGTTAGGAAAAAGTGATTTAAACAATTTATTTACATTTTACATGAGAGTTATTTAATACTTTCTGTATCGGCATTAAAAACAGTCAATAACAGCTTAAATACATTTTAGGATATAAAGTTTTGATAAGAAATAGGATTTAACATTATATCCAGCCAATCGCAGGGAAAACTGAGACCTTTTTGGAAGCATTTTTGCAGATTGACATTCATTTTATTTGAAGGGTACACGAAACTACTAAATCAATTTATTTCACCAGTTGCTAAAAGCTCACAAATGAACTGATAATAATCGAAGTGACGTTTCTAGTGAGTTACCTCATAACTGACTGAAAGACTGAAGAAGTCAAAACATGGGAATTATACTTCTGTGTTAAATCTACCTGTAAAATAGTCGTAACTGAAAATCTTTCTGAAATCCTGCACCATAATGTTCGATGTTACCTGAAGTCCACCTGCATAGAAATGTAACCACATGTCACTGCCAGTGCAGCCTGCACAGGTAAAACGGAATGCTAGAGGCTGCAACCATCACTGGCATCTATATTTCACACCAGAAGTCTAAATCGAGCATAATGCCACACTGTGAAAAATGCTGTCTGTAGACTGCAGTTGCAACCGTGTGACCTCATGATCTTGCAGCACTCAAAGATGACCATCAGCTGTGTCTTCAAAGTAGCTTTGATAAAATGGCAAAAAGATGGAGTCGGTCTGCTGTCACTGTTACTGCAAATTCAATGGTCATTAGGCAGCTATATACTGTTACTTTCAACCAAAACCTCATAGATATGAAACATGAATTTAGGAATTATTCACAAATAGTGCCATAGTTGCAGCAGGATGTTGAATTTCACTGTTAAAGGATGGAGGAACCTTGATATTATGTAGGATTATAATATTGGGTCGATGTTAAAGAGCCATGATGCAGAGACGTTGTGTTCATTGTTGTGGACCAACTCTGACTGATTGCAACATGTTGGCAGTCTCTGTGTTAACAAATTAGATGCAAACCTGCTAATAATCAGGTTGCCTTTGCAAGGGGTTCTGTGCGGTCGCAATCAGGCATCTGGTTTCTGCAGCGTGTTCATTAAGCTGCCAAAAGGGAAGGAAATTAAACGCGTTTATCAGCCACCGTGTTTTTGTTTGGTTTTTCATCCTTTTAGTTGCAGACAGTTAGCCGTCATATATCTACTCGTGTCACTGAGCCATTAGAATGCCAAATAAATTAGATCCAAATATTCTAAAAAAACAAACTAATATGCAAGGGTGGCTCCTATTCAACTTAATTCAACAATCACGTAGATGAACATAATGTGTTAGCATCTAATCTCTAATTAATTAATTTCAAATTCAAAATAATGATGATAATGGCATCAGTCACAAAACAATGAATAACTGTTGCAATATGAAAAGTTATAAATGAATAAAATAGAGAGAGAAAGGGGGAAAAAAATGACTGAGGGTCTAAAGAAAGTGAAAGTACGCCCTCGGCTCCTCGTGATTACCGTCCTTAAACCTTTAACTGGCACAGAATTGATGGAAAAAACAAAACCGAGTCGGTATAGCAGAACCTTCTAATCTACGGAGATCTGTTATATTAGCTACCTTTTTGACTACAGTATTATTTTTAGAAGATGGTTATATGTGGGTTTTTTTCTGATACCCCCCCCCCCCTCAACCCCCCACAGCAGCCAACATTTTATCCCTTTCCCTTCACTGAACTAATGCCCTGCTTTGCTTTTACTAAACCCCTACTTACTAATATCAATAACTGCACTGCAGCCCCACCAAAACCCCCACACTCTGTGCCACATTAGCAGTGCATAATGCACAGCTCTCCATATGTCACTATGTATTGACTCTGTACTGTAGTAATGCTGAATTGATTGACTGGGATTTCAGTCAATCAGTGTATGTGTATGTGTGAGTTTGTGTAGTGAACCTGTATGCCGTTTCTTTAAAATGTGATGTGAGTGCAGCCTTACCTGGTTTCTAAATCTGAACGTGTGTGTGTGTGTGTGTGTGTGTGTGTGTGTGTGTGTTCAGACGGCTCAGACTCTCGGGACAAACCCAAGCTGTATCGGCTTCAGCACAGCATCACTGAGGTCGGCTCAGACTGCACAGACGACGGCGCCATCCAGGTAAACACCCCATTAAAATACAAAAAATTCTAATACAGACTGTAGAATACTGCACTATATAAACTGCACATATTAATGCTAGAATTTTTCTCTTTTTAAAAAAAGTACTACATTGCAATTTTAAATTAAGATTTCTGTCTTTCTAAAGCTTTCAGTATTTGGGAAGAGCTCACATGCTGCCAAGTTTTGATGCCAGTGCATCCGAGCACTGATGCAAACCCTGTGGAGTTCCCTCACACTCAGTGTTCCCTTACACACACACACACGGTGTTGAATTAACTGTGCAAACATCATGACGTTACTGCAGTTTAAAAAGCTGTCTTTAGATATGATTCAAATGAAAAGCAAAGAGGTGTAGCTGGTGGAGTGAGATGCTGACCAGTGGGGGTTTTTGACCATAAGGGCCATTACACTTGAGCAGCTGCAGCTAACTGTTGTTTGAAAGTCGATCAGGTGAAAATCCAGAGACAAGGTCAGCATCAGGCAGCTGATGATCATTCAAAGGTTAATTTATGATACTTTTACTTGGCCGTCCTGGCTCGAGTTAAACTAAACAGCAAGGGTGTTTAAGCTGATAGAGAGGGGAAACGGTGCACAGCTCTAATGGGAGCTTGAAGTCAAGTGAAACTGACTGCAGAAGAGTTATTTATTTATTTATTTTGCCAGAAGCCAGCCCGACTTACAGCTTAAAAGTGGAGTTTTAGCCTGATGCTGCTTATATAGCTGATATACTTGCTGTGTTTGTCTTCAGCTGCTTGGTCCGGGGATTCTGCCCCACCACTGCAACCTCATGCACAGCGAGGGCATGGTGACTGTGACGCCGCACGGCCCTGACGCAGACACATTTGTAGACGGGCAGCGCATTATCGAGACGACTGTGTTGCGTTCTGGCTCCACCATCCAGTTCGGTTCTGCCCACGTCTTCAAATTCGTGGACCCGATGTTCGACCAGGGAGGGAAGAGAGAACCGGCCATGCCGAGAGGCAGACACAAGTCTGGGTGAGGAATGGGAAAAGGGTTTGTGGGTGTCTGAATGCAAAGTTTTCACCTCAAACTTACGGACATCCATTCTTCTTACTATCCCTCCTTCTTCAACGTCTGTACACACAGTTTCCCGAAGCCTACCAACAGTAAAGAAAGAATAGGGTGTTATTGTAAATGAAGGGAGGGTGAGGTTTGGAGTTGGCAGGCGGAAGCAGAGATGAAGGGAAGGAAAAGTGGGAGGAGGGAGTCTGAGATGGGGAGAACAGGGAAATGAGAGGAAGAGCGGAGGTCTGGGGTTACGGCAGGCAGGCTGCCCTCTAATCTGATCAACATGATGTTGGGTGTGGCCTCCTCCTCGCTGGAGTTTCACACACTAACGGGAGAAAGACGGAGGGCATACAAGATAAGAAGAGAAAGGAGAGTGTGAGAAAGTTAGGGATCAGTGAAGGAAAGGAGAAACAACTTAAAAGTCTTTAATGGACGACTAACACTGAAAGGAAGAGAGAAAGAAGGAAGTCTGTAAGTACCCAAAACACTAACTCACAACTGTGGGTGTGTTTCTGCATGAATTAGTTTCTACAAATGATTCAAGAAATTGTCCTTTATCTTTTGTAGCACTCTTTCATAAGCATGTGCTCAGTATTTTCTAAAGCTCACAAGGTCATGAACACATTTAAATTAGTTTTTTAACAATCTAGAGTGTAAAGTTTGCCTCTGTAAGCTTTGCCTTCAGATGAAATAAACCTTAAAATTATTTTGGAGTAAAATGAGCATAACATTTTTGCTTGGCTGAATTTAATCCACCAGCCTGGGAGTGTTTTTTTTTATGTGTTTAAGAGCTGGTTTGTTAGGTTTGAGCGCTTGCTGAGCAAACACAAAATTATACATCAGTGCAGCGTTTTAAAAGAGAGCTAATCCTGTATTTAGCTGTGGGCTGTGACTGCTTTCACAACATGTTCCTCAGAGGCTTTGACACAGGTTTGCATTCCAGTTAGAAACTCCCATCAGGTGATTTTGATTAGTAACCTCAGCTATAGAAGAAGACCTCAAAATTCATGTTTAATACGAAAATACAGCTCACAGTGCTCCACATGTCAGCAGCAAAATGTGACAATAAAATACTTCAGCTTAAAAAAAAAGAAGACTCGGGATGAATGAAGTCCACAGACTGTATATATAAGATCAAAGTAGCCACTTGGTCTTTTATATACAGTCTTAATGTTGGTACTTTTGCTGCTCAAGAGTCATAAATCTCTTGCTCAGCCTGTCCCAAACAGCAATACATTATATTTGTCAGACATTTCCATTAAAAATGCTCTAAAGGGCTCCAGGAGCACAGGCATGGTTCAGATCAGCGCAGGTCAACTACAGCTGTCTATGTCTGCCGATTCAAATTCTGCCCTTAAGTTTAAGACTTGGTAGAGTCTCATTGGATGAGTTTTACCCAGTGTAGAGGTGTTATAAAGGGAGAATTTATCAATAGAAGCCAAAAATCTTCTTTTTTTTTTTTTTACAGGCTTTAAATACATTTTTAAGGTGTGTGTTTTTTTTAATTTTTTAATTTTTAAAGAGTTAAACATCGTGCATTAACATTTGTAATTTCTAGCTATAGGATATAGCATAAATCGCATAGTTCATTCTTACTATTGATGGTTTTAACGATAGGCAGCTGCATTTAGCCGGTTCTGCCTGTCTAGATACAAACATGAGGAAGATGAAATTAGCTTCCGGGTCATGGATATAGTGGATTTTTTGTAAGTTAAAGAGGTCCATATTTCCCCCAGGAGTTACAGAAAATGTGTGAATATTGACCTTAAATTGAGATTAAGCTTTTTTGGTATCACGAATGGCGAAAGGGAAAATTTTCCTCATTGCCCCAAAAGAAAACCCATTTTTATTTTTCTATATAAGCAAGAAGTACACCTGTATAATCAGATTTCTCAATGGTTCAAATAATACTTTGGTCATTTTATTAGATTTTTTGTTATTGATCAGCTCCTTTGGGAACTTTTTCAGTTGTCAGCTCAGTTGGAGGCATTGTGAAATGATGTTACGAGAAATGAGAACACAGAGGAGTTATATTAAGACCAGGGATCATTTTGTGCAGCTCAGAAAAGGAGAAGTTGTGGATGTGGATCTCTGTGGTTTTCTGGGCTGCTTTCCAGTGTCCTGCTGCACAAACATACCAGGATACCTAGCCACAGTCAAGCTGAGGACTCATCATAATGTTTAGGCCAATTACTGCAGTAGTTTGGCGAGGATTCTTTTTTGGCGTGGTTCAGATGATCTTGTAAGGGAATGAGTGTTTGATCCTTTGATAATCTGCTCCCTCTTAACTTCATCTGTATTCACTGTCAGTGAGTGAGAGAAAAACATGAATGAAACCAGCCAGAAGCCTTAAAAGGAACTTTAATCTGTATCATGTTTAATTTGAGATCATTTTAAATAAATCGTTATCAGATCCTTGTGCTGTAATCTCAGTACGCATGACACGGCAGATTCACATTTTAAACACTGTTTTTCATGTTTTATATCATGATAACAGCCTTTTTTGGTCTGCATGTTTGACTTGTTAGCAGCTGACAGAAGTGTGGCACAGATGCAGGATTACAATAGTACGCTTTCTAAACAGAGAAATGAGGCGAGTTGCAAGAAGACTGTTAGTGAGCGGGCGCAAGGTTAAGCAGCACTGTGGTGTGTTTGTTTTGAATTTTCTGTCAGAGTAGAGACTGCCAGAAAAGGCAGATGCTATTGCTGTGTGCTCATACTGCTATGACGCAGTCTTGGTTCTCTTGAAGGTTTCTTCCTCTTAAAAGAGCGTTTTGTTTTTTCCTTCCCACTGTCATCAACTGCTTGTTTAAAAGGGATCATTTGATTGTTGGAGTTTTTCTGTACTATTCTAGGGTCTTTACCTTGCAAGATGAAGTGCCTTGAGGCGACTATATAAATAAAATTGAATTGAAAGTGACCATTTAAAATGATGGCGTCTTGGAAGACATGCAAGGATGGCAGGGTGAGATGGTGGGCCCAGCTGAGTTATCAAATAATAGCAGCCTTATTGGTTAGAAAGCTGCATCCACAGCCGGTATAAAGATGGACAAAGATTGAAAAATTACACCTTCATTCTTTTTAATGGCCAACAGGACTCAACTCCTCTGATTGCAGAGGGTTTCTGGTTGTATAGAAGTCTAAGTTGACTCTCACCTTCCTATCTCCAAGAACTCTGTAAACATTTTTTCATTACTTTAATGCATGAGGCCTTATTTTTGTCAAACACTGAGTGCATTTTGTAAGTTATAGTCATCCTGAGGCTTTTCCAGGGTTATCCAGGATATGTGTGTGGTTTCACAGTCAGATCCACACCTCGTTCACCGCATCTGGTTTCAAAAAACTGATAGTGAAAACACTCATTTTGAGGCTTCATAAAACTAACAAACAGGTGGCATCACAGTGGCTCTCTCCAGCTATTGTACAGTACAGCTAAAACACACAGAAAGCCTTCTTTGGTGCTAATTAACAGACCAGAACTGAAGCACAAGCTTATTAAATGGTCTGCACTTTAAAACAGAGTTTGTGAAAGGGAAAGCCTATCTGTGGAGGCTAAAACATGCTTTTTAATGCAGTGACGTGGGAGCCTGTGGGGTTCGACTCGCATTTGAAGCCAGTCCCAGGTGGCTGTTAGAGGAATTGCAGTCTTTGGCACATCTACATAGTATTTATTTTCCAGCTGCGGAGGTTGTGGCTTTGAGCCTGATTCACATGACTGTCTGGTTTCTGAGATCACATGACACCTGTCATTGATTCCCACGCTGGGATTTGGGACCATCTTGTTAAAGATGTTAGAATCTGTTTTCAAAAGCTGAAAACGGCAGCATCAGAAAGATTTTAATATTTTATCTGTTTTTACTGGAGTTATGAGTTTGTTCGTAATGTACTTCATTTGATTAGAAATTTAGTTTAAGAAAGAAAAAAACAATCAGTCTACTTTGTCTGTCTATGTTGATGCTGGTAATGGTTTAACCTTGTTTGGCTGCTTTTGTTTATTGTGTGCGTGATGGAGATCTCCGTGTCAATGACATGAAGCACTGATGCTTTGTGTTTGTGCTGTGCTCTTTATTCAACATTGATGCCTTGCTGTCACGCGGGCTGTGAAAGCAGAAGCCTGTCTTTTTAAACCCGACTGCTGTCTCACACACACACACACACACACACACACACACACACACACACACACACACACACACACACACACGACACGACATCCTGGCGTTGCTGTGAGTTAGGACTCGTGGCGTGGCTTCTCTATAACTAATTAGACTGTTATGTAAGAGTGTGCATGCATAAAGCGAGCTATCTGTGTGCAAATATCAGCGAGTATTTTACTGCCTCTCACGCCCATCGCTCTCCTCTGTGACGGTGAGTTAGATAAGCGAGCGTGTGTGTGTCTGGATTTAAGTCTGCGCTCTTGTCGACGTCAGTAATGAAAAGTCAGCTGTGGAGAGCGCAGTTCGTCATCTGAACCTCTGAATGTCTGTGTCTCCCCGCTGAAGCAGCGTACCAGAAACCACCTTCGACCTTCACGGAGACGTCCACAGTGGAGGAGCCCTGCCTACCAGCAAGGTAACACACACATGCACACAGACAGAAAAAGAAACACCCACTCATTTTCGTGTATATACTTTATTCCATTCAAAATTCTCTCTGCTCTGCTTTCTGCTCTCAAACACTTAAACACTATGCTGTTAATATTTTTATGTTTTATCTGTCTGAACTTTTATTAAGCAGACTGGCTGAAAGTCGGGCATCATCATATTTTTGTTTACTGCACTGCTTCTGTAGTGGATTCTCCTTTTAAAGTTGGTTTCAAATAATGACGTTAGTTTATGTTCAAGTCATCGCTGTTCAGGCTGCTCTAAACATGCCAATTTTGACAGTTTCTTTTCCCCCTGCTCTGTATGATGCCTTATCTCAACTATTGTCAACACAGGTGCACAGCTGTCACAGCGAGCACAGAAGCTCCACCCACCTACTATTTAAGCCTTATTTTTGCGAGGGGGAACAAAACTACTACAGTAACTAGTCGTGGTAGAAGAATTCACAGATTTAAAAATATGGAGCCAATCTTATTATGATAATTATGCACACCAGTGGTATTTATCAGTATCTTTCAAATTTCTTTGCAGTTAAATGTCATTTATAGAGTGACAAATCATGACACATCTTAAGGTGTTTTATTTTCAAAGGTAAAGCCTATGCACATATTATAAATATTATAAAAACACAATGATTCCACAATCGTCCGTGAGAGAGCTGCTGATGACAAAAAGGAGAAAAATGACTCTCATGGGTTTTCCAAAAATAATTAAGTCTTTTGTTGATTATCGGTGTTGATTTGCAGATCTTCTTGAGTGCATTTCATCTAACATTTAACTCCAAAGAAGTTTAATTCAGATTATTTAAAAATCTGATCAAAGCCACAGATTAATTTTGTCATTTGATTATTGGTTTGACTAACTGCAAAAGCTCTGGAGAAGCAGCAAAACGTTTTTTAAATGTCAAACTCAATACAAAGAAACAAAAACTTGATGAAAAGTGGAAAAAGGGTTGTCATGTTGCTTTTGCTGTAGTAGTTCTGCCAATAAATCTGACCCAAGTCACCATTGTCGGCTTTCCCAGACAAAACTCCATGACACCATAACTTTGATTTGTTTCCCCACGCTGCATTTAAGCCTCGTAGGACTGTAGCCAGTATCTTTAAAATATAATAAGGGACAAATTTCCGTATGTTAAGTTGAATTGAAGCTTCTTTTTTTCTCTGTGTGTTTTCAGAGCTCAGGAAAGCTGGACATGGAGAGAGGAATGGTCAAACCCATGATCAGAGGAGAGCAGCAGGACAGCAGGTCAGACATGGTTTCCTCCAATACCCTGGATTCTCTTGATCCTCATGCTTATCCTTTTTCTCCCCTCTGTATGGATCTCCTCTCCTCATGGTTTGAATCTGTCTCATCAGGTCTCAGGATATTTCAGCAGACAGAACAGAGCTGACTCTTCCAGCCAGCATCGAGTTCAGAGACAACTGTGAGTGTTCGCGCATCACTTTCTGCCTCTTCATTCACCTCACTGTGTCAGTGACACAGTCAATAGCTGGAAACTATTGAACCCTTTCAGTTCCCGTCGTAACGTCCTGGACCGACAAACCTGACCTGATTGCGCTGGAAGTAGTGCTGCTCAATAACGGTGTCATGGTTAATGCAGGCAGTTCAGAGGCTTTTCACGTTTTCTCTCACCTCGCCGACCTGCAGCGATGAAAGGCTGAAAGCCATTATAATCATTAAAATCCTGTTTGACGTTGTGGCACAAAGTCAAGCACGTTCAGTGGTTTTTGCTCCTCGTTTCTGAGCCTGCTTGTGATATTCTTGAACAAGATCTGCGGGTGCAGCCGGGGTGAAGGCGACTCTCCATCGCTGCTTTTTGAAGCCAATGTGGTTTGATTTGATTTATCAGAGTGTGATCTTCAGCATTGGAGGTCGACACCTCCAAATGTGAGACTGTGAAGTGCCCTCTCTGGGTTGAAAGGCAGATATCTCAGGATGTTTTTCGTCGTCTTGTAACAACGCCGCTGGAGGTTTTGGGGGCATGTTTATCTGGGAGGAGACCCTTGGGAACTACAATCAATTTATAATCACCAATTAACCCTTACCCCATGCATGTTTTTGAACTGTTGGTGGAAGCTGGAGTTCCCAGACAGAACCCATGCAGACACAGGGAGAACATGCAGGCTTCATACAGAACGGAAAAGACTGGATTCAAACCCAGGAACTTATTCCTGTGGAACTTTTTCTGTGAAGCTGGCAGGTTGAAGACCATTTCATGACTGGCCTCAAAGGGTTTTTATTGTTCTCTCGTGCACCTTGAACGGTGGAGAAGTTTGGTGCTGTGGTGCATGTATGAAAACTGCTACATCGGGGTGTTTCTGCCTTTACATGTCAGAGTACATTACAGAGATTAATATTAAGCTTCATGATTTCCATCTCTGCGTTTTTCTGAGCCGTGTTCGAGCTGTGCATTCCTGTTTAATAAAGTAATAAAATGAAAGTTCTCCTTTTTGTCTGCCGGTGTGGAGGGAACCTTAGAGCTGGACTGAGTTGTCCTAATCCCCGGCATTTAATTTTCTAATGTCTCTAGTGAATCCTTTATTAGATGATTTCAGAACTCTTTGTTGCTGTTGGATGTTAAATTCATGATAATTGAGTTCCAGACGGCAGTGCAACGTTTCGTTTCCCACGCTTTTTGTAGCCAAGATCGCTTCGAGCCGTTTGCTTTGTCTTCCGTTTATTGACTCTTCTTCTGCTCCGGGCCCGAGTCTATCAGCGTGCACGCTCTGACAGTGCTACAGTATATTTGGCACCGTGTGTGAGATCATCTGTTTTCCAGGCAAAAGATGGTTTTTGGTCATAAAGTGGTGGAGACTCTCATACCCCACAGTCCTCAGGGAGCCTAACCATGTGCTGTAAGAGGCAGAAAAGGTGCAGTAGTCTCATCTTCAGGTTTTCATATGGAGTGTTGTAGCTGCTAAAGTGCAGCTGCCACTAGTTTGGCATCGAGTTAAAACCGAATGACTCTAAAGTGAGGCAGCTAGTTTCATTGGTGTTTTCAACATGACACGCATGTGCAGCCAATATCTGCACCGCCAAAGCGACTGATACAAACTGCTTCCCACAGCTCAGAGGCGGTGTGGGCCGACACTTCGAACATGCAGTTTGATTTATTGTGTGCAGTCATTTCTGCCTTTACATACAGTTTTTAATGAGAGATGATATATAAAACCTTTGCATTCATTAATTACTATTATCAGCTATAATGATGAGCTGTTATTCCATGAAATAATAATAAAAAAACAAAAATCAGCTATAGTGAAAGAGTTAAACAGGTGGAGATTGTTGTCAGAAGGGGCAGGAATAAATGAATGAAAGCCAAAATAGATGAATAAAAACATGAATGAATTGAATAGTAAACTAGAAGTCTAATAAACAAATGAATATTATTATTGTTATTGTTATTATTGTTATTGTTATATTAAAAAATAGACAATTCAGAAAAGTTAAGTTTTATTTATCAGTCAACACAGTGGGGAAAAGAAAAACGACTGATGAAAGCAAAACGAAACCAGATAAAAAAAGAATAAAATGAGAATCCATGAATGAATTCATCAATGAATGGCTGAGTGGGTTAAAACAAACAAACAAAAAAACAACAACTGGATGGATGGAAACAGAATAAATAACAGATGAATGAATAAAGCCAGGAACCAGTTGCTGAATGAACTGACAACACAAGGAGTATCTGAATGAAATGCTGAATGAAAACACAGGAAACAAATAAAACTCCTGCTTGCCTCTTTAACACATTTCCGGTGTTTTCTACTGTAGGACTACGATAAAGTGGCTGGAAGTAAAAATGCTCTGTAGTCATCAGTTCAGTTCTCCATTGTTTTGGTGTCTAAGAAGCCTTTAATTCATGTTTTCATAACCCAACTCACCCTTTCTGCGTCAGACTTCGTTGTCTCACCCATACACGTGACCATAACCATGAGTTTAGTTTGTGGGGGATTACTTAAGCTGCATGTTTATTAATTAATTATTAATTAATCACGTGAAATCTGTTACGTCCTCTGACAAACAGCGGCTGCCGCAAAGATTTTATCGAATGTATTCTCTCTGTGTCCATCCAGCTGAAGACACCTTCCTCTCTGCCATCATCAACTACACCAACAGCTCCACGGTTCACTTCAAACTCTCGCCCACGTACGTCCTGTACATGGCCTGCCGCTACGTCTTGTCGCCCACCTACCGGCCCGACATGTCGCCGTCAGAGAGGACGCACAAGGTCATCGCCATCGTCAACAAGATGGTGAGCATGATGGAAGGAGTCATCCAGGTCAGTAATGCGTCTTTTAAAAGTCTTTTCACTGTAATTTTTAAAAGCAGTCGAATCAAATCATCGATTAATTTGCACGTTATCTCGTTCTCATGCTCCTCCTGCTTTTGTCGAATATTAGGTGACGCTCAGCGGTGTTCTTACAAAACTACATTTGTAGTTGTTGTAAGCTGTGTGTGTGTGTTTGTGTGTGTGTTTGTGTCTGTGTTTGTGTCTGTGTGTGTGTGTGTGTGTGTTTGTGTGTGTGTTTGTGTCTGTGTTTGTGTCTAGCAGCTTTTCTCCACAGTTGTGCTTTCGATTCTGTTTGTCCATCACTCAGTGTTACGCTCGAGATGTGAAGCCTGTTGTGACTCAACATGGAGCTACTGTTACTTAAAATGTCAAGTTTGATGCCGGTCTTATAGCCGTTTTTTGTAGGGGAGGGAGGCGGTGTCAAAACAGTTATTTTTAAAGACTTTTTCGAGATCTCCTCCTCTAAATAAAACTACATAGAGGTATCTGTGTTCAATATTGCGTTAAGACAAACATCTGCAAGAAGTTTTAATAAACATGCTAAAAATGCCTGGTTTTAATTGAAACAGTCTGTATGGAAATATGAAAAAGGATTAAGACTTTCACCATCTGTTGAAACTTTTTGTTAACTCTGGGCCACGTTAAAAACAGCCAGAAATTCTTTCTCGTTTTCCCAGCAACTTCAGTACCTCATATTTAAGCGGTTTTTAAACCAATTTTGATACTCCAAGTTTCACAAGCGTCATATCGCAATGTGGGATAGATAGCTGGGCACAAGTTATAGATTATGAAATCTTTTTACCTATACTTTGATGGCAAGCTCATCTTCTAGTTGCGATCCCTTCACAGAAAAGAAATCCGTGTTCAAATGTTCTGTAAATTGATTTAGACACATCACATCGATCAGTTTCATGTCCTAAACAGGTGTGGGGAACTTCAGGCCTCAAGGGCCGGTGTCCTGCAGGTTTTAGATGTGTCCTTGATCCAACACAGCTGATCTAAATGGCTAAATTACCTCCTCAACATGTCTTGAAGTTCTCCAGAGGCCTGGTAATGATTGATTCAGGTGTGCTGACCCAGGGTGAGATCTAAATGCTGCAGGACACCGGCCCTCGAGGCCTGGTGTATACTCTATAAAATATTTATAGCATGAAGTTAAGATTTTGCATTGCTTAACTAAAGTTACTGTACAAAATAAAAGATAAAAGTGATCCTTGCTGGGTTAGGTGGGAGCACGATGCCACATATGAAGCAGAGGATCTTAGGAGGGGAAAAGTAAACACATAAACACCTACATGTTTCTTTTAAAGCCTCCAGCTTCCAGTAAAGCCATTACTGCTTTTATTTGTTTAGCCTGCAGCAAGCTATTCATTGTCTTTGGCATGCAGAAAAGTTCTAAAACACAAGCACAGACTCACAAATGCACACACAAGACTGTAAGACTATTTCAGTCTGTGTAGTAGGAGTTCAGCTTGATAGAGTTTCAGGAAAACTATCTTTAGCTACAGACTGAGAGATGTGGGAAGCTTGCTTATAAACTCTGTGTGCGTGTGTGCGTGTGTGCGTGTGTGCGCGCGCGTGTTTTCAGTTATCATCTGAACATTAATCATTGCATACGAGACACTAATCCAGCAGATCAGGATATTTTTGGAGCATCTCTTTGGGATGTTCCTCGCCAATAACAGTGCTCGCACTCTCTAATATTTAATCCTTGTTAGAGTGCGGTTACAATAGTGTGCTTCAAACATTTTATGCAGCTTTTAGTTGTAAAATATAAAACATTGTATACCTCGTTCACTTTTGCAGTGTTTTCTTTAACATTTTTTCTTTTCCAGCTGACCTCCATCACTTCACTTTTTTGAGGATGGCTTTACATTGTAAACCATAATCATCGTGTGTGTCAAAGTGTATCTGTGTGTCACATAGCTGTCCATACTGTAGCCGTTGACGTGTTTTCTCTCTGTCCTGTGAACGTGTCCTCTTCCTCCTCCTCCTCCTCCTCTTCCTCTTCCTTTCATCCAGGAGATTGCTGAAGGGGATCAGGTAGGATAGCACATCATGATACGGCTGCTAAAGACTCGTCTACCTCTCTCTCCCTGGCTCTGATGCTCTCTCTTTGTCTCATTTTCTTGGGGTGGGTGATGTGGGTAATATTAATTGTGCAGTGCACCTTATATTCTGTACTCGCTACTGTTAATGTGAGCTGCACAGATTAGCAATGCCAAGAGCTTTGCATCTCAATACTTTTACTGTATTATCCACAGTTTTCAGAGCTGTTTTTAAGGAACATATTGCAGAGGACATAAAACAGTCGATCACGTTTGCCATGGTGACAAAATACTACTGGATTATAGTATTGTTCTCAGTGTAGATTGATTTATTACTCCCAATAGCAACAGAAAAAATGGTTGTTGTTGTTGTTATTGTTATTGTTGTTGTTGTTGTTGTTGTTGTTGTTGTTGTTATTATTATTATTATTATTATTATTATTATTATTATAATAATAATGTTAGTATTACATTGTAACTATTAAGTAAAGAAAGATAAATAAATACTTCTGTGTTGAATAGACATAAAGCCTGTTTAAGTGACCGACTCGTGGTCGGTGTTTATATGTGTGCATGGTGTGTCTCCGTTCTTGTGCAGTCACTCCCAAAACACTAGTTATGGGTGTTTTGATGTTTTTCAAACCTATTCACTGGATTTGAAAATGGAAATAGCAAAAAATGCATTATTGTAGTCATTTTTATTTAGTTTAGACTTTTTGCTGTTAATTTTCAGGCAGTTTCTGTAGTGAGGTTTTCTTGTTTCAGTTTCATTTTATTTAAAAATATTTTGTTTTAGTTTAATTTTATTAATTTAAGAGTTAGTTTTTGGCTTTTTAGTTATTATTATGAGATTTATATCAGCGGTAAAGTACAGGTATTTCAGGTATTTAAAAAAAAAAAAGAAGAAAAAAAAGAAGCCAAACTTTTGGAAAGCAGTTGACTCAGTCTTATAGACAAACAATACAAAAACTAAGCAAATTTCTTGCTATCATTTTTTCCTAGTTTGTTTTTCCCCAGGTCTGTTTATAATTTTTATTTTAGTTAATTACATTTTGGTCACACCTATTTTTAGTTAACTTTAATAACCATGGAGGAGAGTCACAGTCGTTGCGAGCTGCATCAACGTGATGCGTAGTTGTATTTCTAGTGAGGTGCACATCAGGTTGCGGTTTATGGTTACCTACACCATATCTCTAACATTGTTAGTTTTGCGTCAGAGTTTGTCTCGTTGTGCACCTCTGGACTGCTTTAGGACAGCTTCTGTTTTTCAGATTGTTGTTCATGTCACAAAGTTGGAGACAGTGAGCTGCAGTCAACATACATTTTTCTGTTATGCATCACTGTAGGTGGTTCAGTAATCTCATTCTATGTACTAAGGAAACAAATAAGTTGTTATTGCATTGCAAAGCTTCCTCTACGTGCATGATGGGTCTTTTTTTTTTGCGCTGTGCTACTGCCAGCTGATTTCAGTCTGCGTGCAGTGAGTGGAAATGTGAACATTAACGTTATTGCATGAAGGGGCATGGACACGATGGTTAAATGCTCAGCTCGGTGATGATCCTTAGCTTGAAAGTTGTTTGTTTGGTGTTCGTGGTCGAAGCGAGACTTCCACAGAGTGATGATCAGGATAACAGTGCGCATGGATTTGAAGATCTTTTTGATCGAAGCTCGTATGTTAAATTATTTCTTTACCTGAAACCTCGACTCCAGACCAACTGGGGAAAAAAAAAAAAAAAAGCCAACACATTTTAATTAAGGCGAATCAGATAACATTTAAGCACTGGTGACGTAAAATCACATCACCAACCTCATCAACCCCTCGGCTTTCCTCTATTAATCTCTGCCCCCACTTCTCTCTCCCTGTCCTACTTTCTTCTTCTCTCTCTATGCTTTGTTTCTTTTTGACCAGCCCTTCATTGTTGCTGCTGCTTCTTTTTCTCCATTCTAACAGAGATGATGTAAAATACCGCCGTAATAATGCATCCTACCCCACAGCTGGAAAACTAAGCAACAACAGCAACATCAACTTGACTAATTCCATTCAGCTTCCTGGACCTGCCTGGTACTAAAAAAACAAACACACCAAAGAAAAAAAACAAAACAAAAACAGAACAAAAACCAAAGCATCCACTTCTCTCCATCATTGCTCAGTCTTTAACTCTGGCATCCATTTTTTTGTTTTGTTTTTTTGTTGTGACCTCACATCTTGCTTCTTCTACTCGACGGTGTGGATGAGAGACAAGTCGCGTCCCTCTGACCTGCTCCACCTAGTCTGCTTCATTTGTCTGTTTGGATGTTCATTTAACGTGTTCAGCCATCCATCTGTGTTTCATTGTGGATGCACTTGGCTCCATCTCTCATTGTCTGGCTGTTCTGAATGAAGGGTTATTATTGTTATTATTATTATTATTATTGATATTATTATTATTTTCTTTTCTTTGTTCTGTTTTCATTTGTTTTTCAAAGGTGGGGATAGATGAATGCAAGGGACCAAGCTTTGCACAATCCTCTCTCTCTCTGAGCGGTGGGGATTTTAACCAATCAGCTCCTCAGACATCGAGCTTCGTCATGATTTAAACTGTGAACTAAGACGGCCGGTGTCTGTCGATCTGATGAATGGGAGAGAAAAGGAGAGGTCACTCTTGTGTAAAACAAAACTATCACAGAGCTCACGACACTTTGTTTGTGTTCACCGATCTGAAAGTGATGACCACTCTTCTTCTCGACACCCGGTTGGCTTAGAGGGAGGGGTGGGCGAGGCATGAGTCTATCCCTTAAAGTAACAGCTGCTCCTTCTTGCTGTCACTCAAACAGAAACCCCTCTGTCCTCCTCCCTTCTTTTTTTTAATTTTTACCCTTGAGTCTTCCCTGGACACTTCTACTCTAACAACTTCTACCATGTTTTTCTTCTTTGTGTGTGGTTGTGATTGGTGCATTACAGAAGCAGAAGAACATCGCGGGAGCACTGGCTTTCTGGATGGCCAATGCGTCCGAGCTGCTCAATTTCATCAAACAGGACCGAGACCTGAGTCGCATTACGCTGGACGCCCAGGACATCCTCGCCCATCTGGTCCAGATGGCCTTCAAGTCAGTTTGTGTTTGTGGATGTGGGTGTGGGTGTAGATAATAAACTGTGAACAAAGATATAGCCATTGTGATGATGCAGACAGGTTAATGCCTTCCCTTTGTGACGCATCAGTGTTTTCGTCTTTGTGACTCTTAACAGAAACTGCAGTTTACAAAATGTTGATTATTAATTCAATAAGAGATCAAATAAATACCCGTAAACTCACCACAAAAGTGTTTCCTAGGGTCACAGGGGGAGGAAGCTGTTATCTTTTCTAGCTGCAGGAGTCGCCCACTGCTGGCCATTAGAAGGAATGCAGGTTAATGGGGTTGATCCAAGTGAGCAGTGCATTACTTTGTCCTAAAAACAAATGAGTGCATCCAGTTAATAATGTTGCCCCAGTCAAAATGAATGAGAGGTGATGATGATGTTGATGGACTTAAATTTAAGATAAGATAAGATAGAACTTTATTAATCCCTCGGGTGGGTTCCTCTGGGAAATTCGATTTCCAAAAAAGCACAGCACCGACAGAAGTTACAGAGTTACAGAATATTATTTATATATATATATATATACAGAGACAATATAAATAAAATATACGAAGGGGATAAATAGAATAAATAGGAATAAAAAATAAAAATACAAGTGAATTGCACATTTCAAGTATTGAGGTCTATTGCACTGTTGACTATTTACAAAAGTATTGCACAAAAGGTATTGCACAGTGAGGTGAAGAGGCACTACAGCTTAGTTGTTCCCCCCTCCTTTGTCCTCCTGTTTCCACATTTATACATGTGAAATAAGCAGAGCGAGAATCTACCTCAAATTTTAGTTCAGTTTTATTAATATAGCACCAAAAGAAAACAGTCACCTCAAGGGGCTTTATATTATAAAGACAAGACCCACGATCATAGAGAGAAACCCCAACGATCATACAACCCCCTGTGAGCATGCGCTGTCTTTTATATGCAGTCCAAAGTGTCCATCCAATAATGTAATGAAATCCTTATTAAAGTAACTTGTTAGTATAAAATGGGTGATAAGAAACATAGGCTTGCAATTCTTTCTGTATAAATGACATTCGCTGGCAGTTAGCAGTAATTTAAACTTCTCACTTGGTTTAGAAGCATTATGGAAAATATATGAACACACTGATAACCCACATTAAAGTTTCTGAAAGCATCTGAAAGTGTAAAATACATTCAGATGGTGACCTTTGATGTGAACAGTGTTGAATGACGTTGCAACAAGCTGTATCGTGTTGCTGCAGGTACCTGGTCCACTGTCTCCAGGCCGATCTGAACAACTACATGCCTGCCTTCCTCGATGACCCTGAGGAGCATAATCCACAGAGACCAAAGATCGGTAATGTGCAAACACACAACCACAGGAAGCAACCAAGACTGCTCATGACTAACAGCAACAATTCTGAATTAATTTAGGTGATTAGCCCTTTAAAATGAAGACATGTTAATCGTATGTCATTATAGGTTTTGCCGGAGTTTTCACCATTTTAGATGATGATGATGATTCCACACTCACAGGTTGCACACATCTAGAAATTGTTAGCATTAATTTTCTCAGGTTCCTTTGGACCTTGTGAGACTGGAAAGAATATATTAGAAAATCTGAACAAAGTATTTTTTTTATTTCCTAATGGTCTCTCAGGTGTCTTGTTTTGTTTTTTTGTTTTTTTAAAAACATGCTTTGGACCTGTCTCTCTGATTTGGGATCTACTTTTCTGCAGAGTCAGTAGCTGCAGTGCCACCTTAAACTCGAAGAATTTTATTTTTTATCAAAACTCTCTGAAGTCAAGAATTTACACAAACATGGAGCCCAAGATTTTTCAGCAGACTCCAGAAACTCGGAGGAAAGCCCAAATTGAACTCTGTAGCTATCGTTGTTCACTGTATTTGTTTGCGTACAGGCCTGGTTTTAATAACCTGATCATACAGCTCCTGGAAACTGTCCATATACTTAACTCACATTTCATGTAGAGGATCATTGCGGGTTGAAAAGCCCACAGTTTTCAAGTCAGACAGTGTTGCATCAGGTGAGGAGTGAAACCAGGAGGCGCTTGTCTTTTTTCTGAGGATATTGTACATATGTACTGAAAGTTTTCTTCCAAAAAAACACAACCTTCAATCACAAACTCCTCCACTTGGCTTCCTGTCAGTTTATTAAGATAATTATAATCCAGCTGGAAGATTGTATTTTTTTTTTTAACACTGGAAGAAGTGCGCCTATCACAGAAGCAAAAGTACAAGGGCATGTAACCGGATTTCTACTGAGTGATCTCAAAAAACAAGCCTCACACGGCTCAGAATGACCTTGAACAGGATATAAGACTTAGAGGGGAAGATTTTTTCTCACGTCCCGGTTTCTCTTTTCAGAGGACGTCCTGCACACACTGACGGGGGCGATGTCGTTACTGCGGCGGTGTCGGGTCAACGCCGCTCTCACCATCCAGCTCTTCTCGCAGCTCTTCCACTTCATCAACATGTGGCTGTTCAACAAGCTGGTGACAGATACCGGCTCGGGGCTGTGCTGTCACTACTGGGGCGCCATCCTCCGGCAGCAGCTGAGCCACATCGAGGCCTGGGCTGAGAAGCAGGGTCTGGAGCTCGCTGCTGACTGCCACCTCAGCCGAATCGTACAGGTAAGATGGTAAACAGTAAGAGTCTGTGCAGGGGTGTGAGCAGATGGTCGCTAAAACAGGTTTTAGAGGCATTTTCCTCAGTTGTGTCAGTCACACTAATTGGTTTGTTGCATCTTTTTAAAATATCTCCATTTTAATTTTTTCTTATTACTATAAAGGGTTTTGAAAAGATTAAAAAAAGAATATGTTCGACTGATTTACTTGTTGGTTGTGTCCCATTTTCTGTTTTTAGGGAATTACGCAGACCTGTAAAAGTACTATTACAGAGTAGCTCCTGTGGAAGAGTAAGAGGGTCTTGAAGTGACAACTCCCAGAAAGTTGATTCTGTTTATCTCAACTTTGCTTTTTCAGTCACAGAAATGTTTTGTTACTCATTCAAGTGACGACTACTGTCTCAGGTGACCGCAGGTTTCCCAAGTCTAATAAATGGTACATTTGCATAATGATTGAAACCAGCACAACTGACTAACAATGGGCCATTTTTTGCTATGACATCAGGGATTCCAAAAAAAGTGGGTTGTGATGTTACTGCAGCAAGAAGTCAGAAGGAAGCCATTTGTAATTTAAAAAAAAGAAGAAGAAACTGAACTGAAAAACATCTCAATGTGATTTTAAAAATAACAGGTTTTCCTTCAGTTTCTGGCCTATTCTTGACCCTGAACTGTGGTCTATTTAATCAGAGAGCACAAATATGGCCATCAGCTAAAGCTGTTAATGTGATCAAAATTAAGATTAAAATGAGTCAGTGAATCCACATGGAAGGAATCATTTCCTTTTGTGCGGTGTGCAGTTGGGATTGAAGGTTTGGGTGGGCTGCAGAAGGTTTTCAGGATCTCTAAATTGGCTGCGGCAGTCTGAAGTTTGGGAGTAGATGTTTACTACACTGCAGCAATTCAGAGAGAAAATGAAGAGGCTGAAACAAGAAATTAAGAGACCACAACAAGACATGGAGTTAGACTACCAACCGCTGACTGGCTATTACATCACTACAATCCCTTTTAGCAGCATGAATGCAACCAGGAAAAAATGCTTTGAAGCTTTGCAGTTTCTGGAGGATCTCTTCTTGCCCAGAAGGAATAGAATCCTCTGTTATAGTAAACCTGAAATGAAAAATCGTAAAGAGGCAAACACTCCAAACCCCCGCTCAGGTGCTTCTCTGGGACTCTGCTTTATCAGCTTCGACTGACTCTGGCAAAACAAGCAAACAACTCAACAGCTGTCATCAGATTCTTATTACTGTCTCACAACACTCGCCTCGCCTACAGTCAGCCAGTCAACACAACCGCGGAAGTCTCTCATTTCGTGTGCTTGCAGATAACGTTGCGACCACGTGTGGCCACTCTGTTTACATTCAAAACAATAAGATGTGTTTGATTTACAACATGTGTGTTTGTGTCCCCTTCCAGGCCACCACCCTGCTGACCATGGATAAATACTCCATGCAGGATGTGCAGACCATCAATAACACTTGCTTCAAGCTCAACTCCCTGCAGCTTCACGCCCTCATGACCAACTACCACTGTGCCCCCGATGAGCCGTACATCCCACCTGTAAGATAAACGGCGTCTTTAAACATGTGCAGCGTTTTTATTGGATTAAATTAGATGAAACTGGAGTTATTCAAGTCAAACTGATTTTTAGAAACTTCTGCTGGTTTCTGTGTGTTTAGGAGCTGATAGACCACGTGGTGGCAGTGGCGGAAAACACAGCAGATGAGCTGGCGAGGAGTGACGGCAGAGAGGTTCAGCTCGAGGAGGATCCAGACCTCCAGCTGCCCTTTCTCCTTCCTGAGGACGGCTACTCCTGCGACGTGGTGCGCAGCCTCCCCAATGGCCTGCAGGACTTCCTGGAGCCTCTCCTGCAAAGAGGTAGAAAGTCAAACTATATGTGAATAAGGAATGAAGTCATATTGGAAATATATGAATGAAAGCCTTCAAATAGGTTTATGTTTTATGAGAATGTAAATGACTTTGGTTGAATATGAGCAGATAATTTTTCCCAGGGTTTTTAATTTGTTTTTATTGTCATTGTTTTAAATAAAACCCTGTATACCTAAAGGAAATCAAACATTCATTGAATTATGTTTCATAACTGTGTGTTAGTTCTGCTATTCTGAGTTTTATACCTCCTGTTTTTAAAGCTATGAGACGTACAACGAGTTTAAAGATGTTATGTTGGGATTTAAGCATCTTAAAATAAAGCAGACCAAACAAAAAGCATCAGTAGCTGCTGCTTTAAAATAAGTTTGGTTGCTTTATATGCTGTATTGCTACACTCGACAATTAACGTTTTCTTATTGTCATGATTTCAGAAAAGCTGCTCTGAAACAAAGGTTATGATCACTCTACTATCAGTGACATTATTTCTGTGTGCGTCTGTTTCCTCTGGTAGGTTTTTGTAGGTTAACGCCACATCCACGTTCGCCCGGCACCTGGACCGTCCACTTCGAAGGAGCTGACTGCGACAGCCACTTCTCCGCTGCTGACAACTCTGAAATGGTACGACGTCGACGTTCAGTCACTCTCTCGCCACACTGTGCGTGCGTTTATTTATAGAGTTGTGTGTCAGTGCAGTGGGGCATCCTGGGTAAATTCGGTGCCACAGAGGAGACTTTGCAGGTTTAGTAATGCTGAGTCACAGAGACTGTGGAGACTGAAGTCTAAAGTAAGTCTGACAGCTAAGACAGCAGAAAACAAGACTAAAACTCAAAGTGGCTGCAGGGTCTTTGATGGCTGCAGAGTGACTTTGGGAAACTGTTCTTTTTTTCAGCATTTACATTTTCATGCTGCGCTCTTGCTTTGAGTGGATGATCTTCACTGAGATCCCATCCACTTTGCTCTGTATGCTGCCCAGACACGCCTCCATATTGTCAATAACGATGAGCTGCTCTTTGATACAAATATCTAATTGGCTGATCACATGGCAGCAACTCGGTGCATTTAAGCATGTCAACATGGCCACCATGACTTGCTGAAGCTCAGACTGAGTCTCAGAGTGGGGAAGAAAGGTGATTTAAGCAACTTTGTGACCTGGTTGTTGGTGCCAGACAGCCTGGTCAGAGTATTTCAGACTCTGCTGGGATTTTCCCACATGACCATCTCTGGGGTTTACAGAGAATGATGTAAAAAAGCAGAAAGATCCAGTGAGCAACACTTCTCTGGATAAAAACGTCTTTGAATGCACAAGACATTAAACCTTGAAGGAGAAGATCACACTGGGTGCCCCTCCTGTCAGCTAAGAGCAGGAAATCGATTCTATAGTTCAGCACAATTTGACATTAAGAGACTGAAAATTTGCTTCTGGTCTGATAAGTCTCAATTTCTACTCTGACATTAAGATGATGGGGTCAGAATTTGGCCTAAGCAACATAAAAGCATGGATCCATCCTGCTTTGAATCAGCATTTCAGACTGGTGGTGTCAGAGAGGTTTTCTTAGGACTCTGCACACCAATTAGTATTAATTGAGCATCGTTTAAACACCACCGCTGACCACGGCCACAGTGGTACCATCTTCTGCTGATTCCTTGAACATGACAGTAAGTTGTCTGTACTCATTTGGCCTCCGAAATCACCAGATCTCAATCAAGTAGAGCACCTTTGGGATGTGATGGAACATGTTTTCCAACAAATTTCCAACAAATCTGCAGCAACTGTGTGTTACTCTTGTGTCATTATAGACCCAAATCTCTGAGAATGTTTCCAGTATGCCAGTTCTGAAGGGAAAAGTGGTTCCTGAAAGGCATAAATACTAATGTGGCTAGTGTATACATTTTAATATTTCAGCTGTGTTAATAAACTTCATCTGTATGTTTCTTTTTAAAGACAAAAATGACAATAAGTAGAGGATTTCACAGAGTTTGGACAAGAGATTCAGGGTAGCTGAGACTAGCAGCCAAAAAAAGGTGAAATTCCTGTGCAGAAACTGAGCTGTAGACAATTTGACGGCACGACTGTCATAGTTTGACTATTTTTAGACACGTTTAAACCTGGAGACTGCTTTGATTTGAGTCCAGAGGGGGGTGTGTGTGTGTGTGTGTGTGGTCTCTCAATCTGAATGCAGAGATTAAAGTGACTTCAGAAGGATCTATTTACTTTTCATAAGACACACACCAAGACACAAGCGCACACACAATTTAATCAACACTAATCACGCTGCTGAAGTTGGGGAGCCCAGAGCAGTAAATGAGAGACTACTTTTACTTACACACACACACACACACACACACACACACACACACACACACACACACACACACACAGCCACTTCCTCTGTAATTGGTCTGTTTATCCCTACTCTACTATTTCATGACTGTAGTCTCGACTGGCGTCTCACACAGCACACGCGCACACAGTGATTAATGGTGTGTGTTCAGGCAGACTGGTGGGTCGAGCTCTGCCTTGTCGACAGTTCTTAAGCGATCATTACAAGACCAGCTCTGCTCTGCAACCACTTTAGTGTCAAAGATGTGATATTGTTTGCTTTTTATGTGTATAAATGTATAAACTGGATTATGTGGAAAAGTCTGATACTAAATTACAAGTGGAATAAGGAGAGCCTGCAGTGATGTTTGGGCCCATGCTGTTGTACAGTATGAAAAATGACACAATATTGAGTTTTATTCAGTTAACGTTCTGTGACAGTTGCCTCGGGGTGCTTTATACCATTATGTAAAGACTGAAAAGTCATTAACCTGTGTGCTGCACTTGGTAACTGTGGAAAGAAAAACTCCCTTTAAACAGGAAGAGACTTGGATCAGAACCAGGCCTCAGGGAGCGGTGCCAGTTTACCGTGACTGGTTAGGAAGCGAAGAGAAAAGGATGGAAGAGGCCAAAAATGTGTAATGAGCTGTGCCTCCTGAGTACGTAATGTCTAATTAGGTTTAAGTTTTTCCTAAGAGCTTAAAGTCGTTAACCTCGTTTGTTTGTCTGATGAATAAACATGGGTATCAGTTAAGTTTAATTAATTTACTTGTGTTTAGTACAGCGGCGTGTCACACACAACCTAATTGTGGGCCTGATAATAACCTGTACAGGGCTTGAATTCCTCTGGACCCAAATCAAAGCATCTTCCAGGATTAATTCCTGTGGAGATATCTGCACGGAATTACAGTAATCTAATAATGTTTGGGCCACTGTTGCATTAGTGTGGAACAGCTGCAGCCTCTCTCTGCAGCGCTACAGGAAGTTTTGCTAGCATACACAGACTGGCTACAAAGGTGTGAACTTGAAGCCGTGCAGGCAATGACCGCCGGCTAAAAAATTTAAATCCACTTCAACTGATGAGGAGAACGCTGAACACCAAACACGGCGGCATTCCCAGTGAAGTTAACGTTAAAAGCGTTAGTCCTTAGGATCCACATGTGTAACAATAACATTATTAGGGTGGAGCAGCAGTTCAGAGAGATTCAGACTAACCAGCTAATTTATAATGAACAGAGCATGCCTTTTTTAATACGCATGCATAGATGTGACAAAGAACAGGGACAGGAGACATAAATTACAGCAGTATTGTATTTACTGGAGAATGACAGACAGTGAGGTAAGAATAGGACAACAAAACTTCACAAGTAAAGTTTTTGGAAGTAAACAGCAGCAGTATTTCATGATTATGATCAAACAATGTCTTTTTCCCATAAAATATTTCAAATCTAATTGATTCATTCATTTTCATTTACACACATACATTTTCGTTTATTTGTAACTTGGAAAGAAGAAATTGGTGACTTCACAACTGACTTGGGTTGTATTAGAAAGATTAGAATTGGAAGCTTTTATTGATATTATATAATGTACAATGAAATTGGAGCGCAGCAACAACTTAAGACACAATGAAGAATAAACATTTGATCATTTATACAGTAAATACATAAAGTGCTAGTACTCAAAGTACTAGGTATAAAAATTGCTACATATACTAAATAGGGGTGGGTTTTTATAATCGATTTATCGATTAAAATCGATTCTGGCTTGGGTAACGTAAAATCGATTCATTAAAATCCTGATGCCAGAAATGCCAGAATCTCTGGTGAAACCTCACAAAATTTCAACAACCACCAAACAGCTAAGACAGTAAATGAGAGCAGGTACACGGCTTCTGCACAAAGACGTAAACACACAGCGCGGACCCGCGGATCAGAATCAGCGAGATGTCGCCTTTCTCAGCTGACGGTTGGGGCTGAAAGCCGACGGCTCGCTGATTCTGATCCGCGGGTCTGCGCTGTGTGTTCACGCCCTTTTTGCGCTGATCATATGGCTGTTAGTTTTATCTCTCTCCAAACAATATTGACCGAACCAGCAGCAAAAGAAGATCCAAACTACGCTTCACATAAACATCGTCATGAATTCCCTCTGACGTTTGCTGACTTTTCAGTATAAAAATCACACTTCATGCACAGCTCTCTCTCTCTCTCTCTCTCTCTCTCTCTCTCTCTCTCTCTCTCTCTCTCTTTTCTGCATTATTCGCTTGCCTGTTACGCACAAGTCTACCGTTGTTTACAGCGCTGTCGGCCGACGTTTTTTTTCCCCCTTTTACTTACTTCCGAATATTGAACAAATTTAAACTTTTTAAAATTAAGCAAAATGCAAAACGCTTAACCGTGTCTCTAATAAAACCGCTGTAACGTCAGAGGTAATGTTCATAAGTTGATTAATGGTTTTCTTTCGTTTTTGATGTACTGCAGATTATTTTTATAAAATCCCAGGCCAGGAAAAATCACCTTCATGTTTTTCTGTGTTTTATCTTCAGCTACTTTGACACAAAGGCCTCTGCTGTGATGCTCACACCTTGGATAAAGTCTTGCGTGTGTCAGCTTCCTTTTAATAGATACAAAAATATGTAAATGTACTGATCTGAATTATAATATTTCTGACTGTCAAAATTTCCCAGATTCGAATCGAATTAAATCGAATCGTGGATCGAATCGATTCGGGACCTTGTGAATCGGAATTGAATCGATTCTAGAAATCAGTGACGATACCCAGCCCTAATACTAAAGTATATAAAAAGTACTAATGTTTAATAAGGTTAGGTAGTCGGGTAACAAATGGTGAGAGTATCCCAAATATTACACAGTGATTTACCAATAATCTAATAATCGAATAACTCGGGTGTACTTGGTACATTCAGAGAAGAGGTGTTGAGGTTTGGAAAGAAGCCCTTCCTGGGTCTGTGTCCTTGATTTGCCAGAGAGCAACAAGTTAAACAGATGAAGGCCAGGATGTGAGGGTCCTTCAAATATGTCTGCTGAAGAAGGAGGAGGGAGGTTTACAGGTCCTGTATGGAGGACCGAGCTCAGCCAGCGATCTCCTGAGCCGTGGCTCTGTTTCTTCCTCCTCAGCAGTCTCAGGAAGTGAGGTCGTCTCTGTACCTTTTTAATAACCATTGGCAGCTCAGGTGTTCAGAAAGTACCCAGGAATTTGGAACCATCTCCACACACTGATCACTGATGTAGGGCCACGTCTCGTCAATGAAGCCGAAGAGGGTTTTTCATTTTTTGTTTGTTTGTTTCGGGTGTTCTTGGTCAGGTTGTACCTCAGATCTGAAATGTTTCTCTTTATAAACTTCAAGCAGAAAGTTGAATCTGTTTTCTAATAGAATTCAGCCTGATTGAGTGGGTATGCAGCTGTAATTTTAGTGTACGAGTTGTCCTCTTGACTTGTGGTTGTTGTTTTGTTTGCTTCTGGGTGTTGCTGCAGTTTGAAGCGCCAGTCAGCGACATGCAGGACAACAACACCAAACAAAAATAGACAATACGATGCAAGCATTTTTTTTTTTATGAGTGTGACATGAGCTTTTGGAGTATCCTTTGTCAGAATATTTTTTCATCATGTGGGAAACCTCGGTAGCTCTCTCTTTCTTTGTTTCTCCATCTTTCCCCACCCAGTCACCCAGCCCTGCTCAGCCATGAAGTGGTTTTCATTCTTGACTTGGTTCCAGCGACCACAGGTTCCTCTGCGGTCTTCCCCTTTTCCCCTTTATCCCTCCTTCAAGCCTTCCCTCCCTTTTCTCATCCCTCCCTCTTTTTTCTTCTTCTTCTTTTTTTTTAACTCTGCATTCTCTCACTATTCTCCTACATGTTTCAGATGAAGGGAACACGCTAAAGGAGAGTTGAGCTTTCCTCAGGCCTTTTTCCACGCATTCGCTCACAGTGAGAGGTTACATCCTCGCTTACAGTTTGTCCTTCCTGTCCATCTCTCTTTTCAGCCAATGAGGAAAGAGCCGGAGGTTGTCACAGTAACCCTGAAGAAGCACAACGGCATGGGCCTCAGCATCGTGGCCGCCAAGGTAGGAAATGTCACCTGGAAGTTTGTTAAAGAGTGAAAGTCAAACTTTGGCAGCTCTGAGATGTTTTCAGTTTGTTGGGGTTTATTTATTTTTTAAAATTTTGCAGGAAACTTTTCCTAAAAATGAAATCTAACACTGAAAAGTAAACGACTGGCATGCATTTGACAGGAAACCCCAAAATAACTTGGATGTTTTTATCGTGGCTGTAGAGATGGTGTGTGTGTGAGGCTGAGCGACACACTGCTGACAGAACAGGCTGCTGTTTAAAATAGACTCCTTTCACTGTTGAGTCTGACAGCAGCACAGAGACTAAACAGCAACACTACAAAGAAACTTCTGGATGAGCCCCGGACAAAAACGTGCTCTGTGCAGTTTGCTGATTTAAGGGAGGGGATGTGGGGCTGTGCGGTGGGGCTAATTTAACTGTAGATCATTGTCTGTCCGTGTGTTTGTGTTACCGCACCTCTGATGTGTGGACCAAAGTACAAAAGTCTGCAGATGTCCGTGTAAGATGCAATTTTGGCTTACATACACATAAAAGTATTAATTTAATAATCCAACAAAAGATACATGAACAGGAGGTTTACACACTTGGGCATATGTGAATATCCAGGTCCTTAATTTGTTGCATCCATACACCACCTCAGTGGATTTGAAATGAAACAGTTTGAAGTTCGGACCTTAAGCTTTAATTCAAGTGGCCTGACAAAAATTTTGCATCAACTGTTTAGGAATTAAAGCTATTTTCACACCTTGTTCCCCATTTTCACAAGACCAAAAGTGATTGGACGATTGACCATGTCACAGCCATAAAGAAATTCCAATTTCCAAGCTAATTCCAAGCTTACAAAACACTTTAAAATAAAGTAACATTAATCCGTGTTAATTTTGTGCTTTGTGAGTTTGCCCTGCTGTAAATCTCTCACGCAGTCATAAAGTGCGAGCAATTGTTGTAAATCGGTGTGTGTAAATCACCTGACATGCTCAAGTCAGTCAGGTAAACAGAGTGTGGAGCAGGAGTTTTGACGTTGCATCGTATAGTTGTTTTTCATGAGGCAATGATAGGATTAGATAACCAGGACTTCATATGGAGAGGTTTTGTTTTGTAGCTGTCAAGTCATTTCATTTTTGTCGTTGGATTGCATGCAAACTGCTTTAGGGAAAGCACGAATCAGAAACTTCCGAAGTGTAAAAGAAGGTCCGAAGGTTGCTGCTGCAGACTGATAAGCAGTTTCATGTGCAGGTGAGGCTGGTTCCCTCATTATTTTACAACAAACGGCGCAGGCATAAAATCTGAAGTTGAATCCAAGTGTTGAGTTAGTATTTTACAGCCTTTAATTGTATTTTTTTTAGATAAGGACCAATGAGATGCCAGTGTGTCACAAGACTTAAACCAAAATAAAGCTTTCAGAGAGTTGGCAAAAACATCAGGAGTGGCCAAACAATCAGCAAACTGGTTTATTGTTTGAAGGATTGCAGCAACCAGCTCAGCAACACCAAAAGACCTGAAAAACTACAGGGTCACTGATGTTTATTGAAAACATAACTACTGATAGAAGCAGCAAGATGAATTGAAGTGTATAGGACTACTTTCCCAAAATGATCAGATTGAGCTTCACAATTCAAAATGATAACGGCCCAAAGCACACTGTTGAACCAACACAAGCCAGTTTTCTTAAGCAAAGGCAGGTACCTGATTTCAACCCAACAGTACATCTGTTTCACTGGCAGAAGATATCAAGAGGCGAAACACAGCTTTTGGTGATGTTCATGGGCTCTAGACTTCAGCCACTGAGACAAAGGGTTTTCATCCAACTGTTTAAAAACTATCCTTATACTTATTATCACATATTGATTGTTTTGATTTCTAGTTTTGCAAAGAGGAAAAAAACTACAAAGTATATGTTGATGTCTAACAAATTATGGACCGAACTGTACCTGGAACGCCGTCCAAGAAAATGCAGAGCTTCATTTTGGTAGAGAAAATGAATGTGGCTTGGATACCTGCTCAGTATGGATGTAATAAACATGTTGCTTTGGCTCCAAGTTTTGAGTTACTCATTTTGGCCACTGTCACCTTGTTGCTAATGCCCAGATACTGATTGTGTAGATTGCTTGTTAGTGCCAATTAACAGAAAATGCTAAACTTTTTTGGACTGTTGATCCACACAGTGGGCCACCAAATTGGACAGACTGTCACAATTCATTATTTGATGGTTGTAAACATGTTAATTTCAGCTCTGAGGCGTAGTATTTTAACATGACACATTTACATTAACACTGGAGGAACTGCAGCCGCAGAGGCTGCTGTTTAGTAAAATGTAATGACTGTGACACCGAGCTACTTCAGATGAACTGAAAATTTAAACAAAAACACTTCGAAACGCAAAACATTTCATTCAAGTCCAGGAAAAACACAGTTGCACAACTTGAAGTTGAAAACAATTAAAATGTTAAGTCTGCTTCCAAAATAGTTTATATAAGCTCACCGCACATCACAGGGAGGCTGTAATGTGAAACGTGGAGTATATTCAACTGACATCATCTTCCAGTCTCGTCTCCACTGGTTCCCTCTAATCTTACATGTCACAGCCATCATCAGGCGACTCATCCTGAGTGTTTCATAGCAACAAGAAAAGGCTTCGCTACCCTGTATCTTTCCTAATGTTAGTAAGAAATCAACTCACTGGCTCGCTTTCTTGAATTTAAAAAGTTTTCTGACTTTTTTTGAGCTGCAAGCCAAACATGAACCGATGCACAGCATGTACCTCAGAGCCCCCAACAGTGTCCGACATGGTTTTGATTATAATTTGAAATGGCAAAGAGAAGTGAGACACAGTTGGGTGTCCAGTTTGACTAACAAGTTTCCTTCAGGGGCAACCCTTCACTTTCAGGCCAGACAGTTACATAATTCTACATTAAGGCCGTTCCATCACCAAGATTTCCCCCTAACTGGGTTCCTCGTTGTACTGTAGCTTATCTTGTACAGAACAGCAGTATCAAACCAGTATACATCCATGCAAGAGGATATGAGTAGATAAGACTACTACGGTTTGCTCTATGTACAAAACATAATGATTTTCTTTCTTTCTTTTGATTGGAGCAAGTTTCCTGCTTAAGGCGAGAGCTTTCCTGTGTGTGTGCAGTCTGACTCTGTGTGTGTGGATGGGAAGAGTGGGAAGGAAGGATGTGCTGAGGAAACCTCCTTGCTCTGTTTATTTTCAGAGCTGTGTGGATGTTTGAGAGAGTGGCAGAGATGTGTGTATGTGGGATGGGAAAGGCAGGTAGAGTGAATTTTGTCAAACAGATGCCTAAATTCTCTGTAAACTGGGCTGAGCTTTGTCCTATTATATAACTCAGAGTGTGTGTCTGTGTGCGCGTGTGTGGTATTTGCCTGGTGGAGCTGAAGCAGCGCTCCACCTCAGTCCGACCAGCTGGCGTCCCAGCCGACACTTCACCTCTGGACCGCTGTCTGAATTTGCTGTTTCTTAACAAACACTCTGCAATTAGGACGCCGTGGAGGAATTTGGGAGCTCTTGGGAACATTTGAGGAATTTACTGCAACACACACTGGACTGTTGGGCAACTTTTAAATTTTTTTATTATAACACTTTTTCTATATTAAGATTTATTCTTTTTCCCGGTCAAACCTTTGAGAATGAAGAGCGGAAAGATTCCTGCACGTCTTTGCTTTACATACAGGAACTTTTTTATCCCGCATTTCTGTCCGTAAACAGTGATTTTTAAAAGTTCAGCTCAATGGATTACGCTCAGTCTGTGTAATTGCTGGGAGGTTTTAGACTTGTCGGTTCATGTTAGCAGGTTGATTCGTTCTCTGGGATTTAAAAAAAGAAGGAAGGAAGGAAAGAAAAGGAAAAAACAGGTGTGTGCAGTTGGTGCGGGTGTGTGTGTCCTCTGCTGTGGATGTCCCCAGTGTGAACTGGTCTGGATAACAAGCAGCTGCAACATGTGGTTTTCTGTGGTGGGCAGGAAAGACCAGGTAACTGCTCTTTTTATGTCATTTGTGTCTTTTAAAGGCAAAGAGACTGTTTCTGTCTGCTCTCTTTGATGTTATTATAAATTAAAAAAAAAAGATTTGAAAGGTGGTCTGTAAGTTTGCATCCATGTAAACCCGATTAAGACTGTTGCGTTTCATGTACGATAGACTCGCTCTGCTAAAATGTTGACCTTACTGGGGTTTTTCCTGGCTCAAATCTCACTGTTTGATATACAAAAAAATAATAGGTGTACTTCAGTAAATTAAATACCATCATAATGTACGTGAGGGAGGAAGTTTCCTTTTGTGCTGGTAACAATCTTTTAGATGGACACGAGTAGTCCATGAGTATTTAGTGTTTATTTAGAAGCACATGCTTGTGAAGCAGCTGGTTGAATATTCCTGGATTTATCGAGTGCAATGGCCTGCTGGTCCATCACTCTTGGCAGTTTGCTGACAGTGCCGTTCTGTCACTGGTTAAACAAAAACCCCTGGTGTTTTTAATAGAAGGGAAAAAGAAAAGGGTAAAGTGCTCTTCAGCCAGATTTAAATTTGTGGCCTGATTTAAAATGTAGATTCTAAAAGAAGACTCCTTAATCAGATTTTGCAGAAATCTCCATAAATTTTAAAATATTTTATTAGACTTGAAGAATTTCTTTTTTGTGTGGTGGGGAGGGGGTCTGACAGTTCAGTGCAGTTTAAATGCTAGATAAGAATTCTGGTGTAAAATGGGAATATTAGCTCATAAAATCTGTATGTCGAATCAGTGATTGCTCTGTTTGAACTCTCAACCTTTACATGTTGGTCATTTTGTTGGAGCCCTTTGTCTCTGTGGAACAAACGTGTGGAGAGCAGATTAGCATCCTTAAAAATACTACATCAGTCAAACCCACACACGTGTGTTTTATTGTATTGTGTTTGTCTTCCCTCCGGGCAGCTCCCAGCTGCAGTTGAGGAAACACTCGCTCCCCTCCTCGTCTTCGCCCTCCTCTTGTTGTCCGTT